TGGCAATAAAGTTTGGGTTGTATTCTAAGGGTAAAGAGAAACCCTTGGAATGTTTGTCAAGTAGAGGTGTTGTGATCCAATTTATATTTTTTATAGATGGTTCTGACAGTATTTGTGGATGAACCCAAGGAGGGTTAGAAGCAAGGAGTCAATTAGTCTGCCTTAGTCCAAGCTAGAGATGTTGTGTTGTAGACCGTGCAGACCTGGTCAGGAGTTTGAGGCCCTGTGGGCCCAAGTGTTGCAGACAATACAGTCCGCAGGCTCTGAGGAACAGACTCTAGCCACCTAGCAGTCATAGCAAGCTGTTTTTCATCTTAGTGTTCAGCTAGGTTTATTATTAAACGCAGACATGAAGCCCTGATACCCACAGATAAATGTGATATTTTCCTAAAAGCCAAGTCTGTAAAATTACAAACAGGCAAAGTTCTTCCCTCAGAGAATTCATTCAAAGTAAATTGGGTGTCTTCCCCATCTCTGTTCTAAGGACAATAGAACAGCTCTCCCTAAAGTGTTTCCAGGTGCAGCCCATTCACCCAGGTGCCTCTTTTCCTGAAGAACCTGGGCTGGGCAGCCAACACAATGGGAATTCTCCTTTTCCTCCCCCCATTTGAGGCTAGGTGCTAAAAGGTATGTTAATTAAGCTTGAGAAACCTAGTTGCTTCGGATGTGAAGGTGCCTGAATGTCTGGCCAAGTAAGATTGATAGCTGTACCTTATCTTAGTCACGCCCAGCTTTGTGTATAGTTCCTCCCCTAAATAAAATGGAGGCGCAGAACGAATCCAGGTGCATTACGACTGGCAAGGCGTGCATTACAGCATGCAGGGAGCTCAGTCCAGCCTTGCAACCATACTGCTTGTTTAGCCAAGATGTTTACTATGCAGGATATTACGGCCTTCCTGGCTGAGATGTTTGCAATGCAGGATCCGCCTGATGCCAGTCCCGCATCCACTCTGGTTTTGGGGTGTCTCTTTGTCTCTCTCTGTGTCTTTCTGTGTATTCTTTCTATATCTTTACCGCCGCCAGGTATCCCCACCTCGTGAACCAAACACCTATGTTGAGGCAGGTTCTCAGCAATGTTGGTGCCATGGACTAAGGTGGTAGAGGTGTGGAGAGAATGAGAAGCAGTCAGATCTGAGATGTATTTAGAAGGAGAGGCAGAAAGACTTGCTGATTGGTGTGGGGAGAACAAATGGAATCAAGGATGATTTAGGGACTTGGCCTCAGCAAAGGTGAGGTTAGTGCTAAAGAAAAGAGAACTGGTGTTGAAGTGGGTTTTAAGGGAGAACTCAGGTGTTAGCTTTGGACACACCAAGTTTGTAAAAACTATGAGTCAAGTTGAGATGTCAAATAGGATGAATGGACAGAGATCATGTACGCACAAGTCAGCCATGGGTACGGATTAGATCACCTAGCAGAGAGGCTGGGGAAAAGGAGAGAGTGAAGGACTCAGCTCCAGAGAAGTCTGAAGTGTAGATGTCTGGAAGAGGAGGGGTCAGGAGACAGAAAAGATGTGGTCAATGAAAATAGCAGGAAATGACAACATTCTAGAATCAAAATGAAGAAATAACCTTTCCAGCAGGGAGTAGTCCACTGAATCACTGCCTAAGACTGATTTCTTCAGGCATTTAGCAGCTCCTTCCTCCAAGCTCCTTCTGCTTACGGGAAGGAATGAACCATTATCTCTGTTCACAGGGGGTTTGCACATGGACTTCAGTGCCAGAGAGATGTGGGGCCAACTGCTTACGTAAGTGGCTTCTCTGACCTGACCTGCATCCTCCTTTTGAGAGAACTTGATGAAAAAATCAACACTTAGCACAGTGAGGAGTTCACCAGATCTCAGCATGCTTATCAGAGATGACGTTAGTAAACACACACGTGAACACTCCTACAGCATTTCCTGTTGTTAAGTGCCACCTATTTGGTTCTGACTCACAGCAACCCTGTACAGGGTTTCCAAGGAGTGGCTGGTGGGTTTGAACTACCAACTTTGCAGATAGCAGTCCAGTGCTTATTATACAGTGTCACACCAGGACTCCAGCATCTCCCTTGTTGTTGTTTAGTGCCACTGAGTTGGTTCCAACTCACAGCGACCCCCCTATAGGGTTTCTAAGGAGCAGCTGGTGGGTTTGAACCACTGACCTTGTAATTAGCAGTCCAGTGCTTGTTGTACAGTGTCACACCAGTATTCCAGCATCTCACCTAAGACTGTCTTAATCAGCCAAAACAGAATTATGGTATGATCAGATTTGAATCAAACAGGCCTGGGTTTGCATCCTACCTCTGTCACTTCGTATAGTGATGGACCAACTGCTTAATCTCTATAAATTCCCACTCCACAAACTAGAAAAATGTACGTCACAGATTGTGTGAGGATTAAATGAGACAGTATTTATCTACCACCTTTTATCCGCATCACTAATACTCTCAAAGTTTGTGGACTAATAGTCATGTGAGAGGGTAAATTGGTAAGTAAGCTTTCCTTCCTCCTTCGAGACCCGTAGAGTAAGTAAAGGAAGCCATTGTCAGCTGTTACCTACACCCAGTGACCCAAGCCAGCAAGGTGAATGAATGAAGCAACTATAGATTACTATTCTGGAAAATGCCATGCCTGTCTTCTTCCATATTTTGATGAGTTGTTGGTGTTGTTGTTAAGTGCCGTTGAGTCGATTCCGACCCATAGTGACTCTATACAGGGTTTCCAAGGAGCAACTGGTAAGCTTGAACCACCGAACGTGCAGTTCAAACAACTTTGCAATCTGACGCATTAGCCCACAGCGCCACACCAGGACTCCATTTTGTGGAGTGGATTCCCATAATCCAGTATTCAAACCAGAAACTCAAGCACCGTCTATGACTGTTTTCTCTCCAAATCCCCATCTTGTTAACTAGCTAAGATAGCAATCTTAAGAGCTATCAATTCTAAGACATAATTAATGTCTCTCTGAAAAATGCTGCCAGTTGAACTATGACAGGCTGCTGCTAGAAACAACTAAGTTTCAGTAATGTTAAGAGGGAAGCAGAAAGGAAGGTCTATCTTACAACTGAGGAAATGAGGCACTTTTATCTTACTCCACCACTACCTTCATTCAGTCCTCCATCACTTCTTGCCTGGACTAGGGATTTAGTGTCTACTGGTCTTTCCTCCATCCCTACTCTGCAGCCAGAACAAGGCCACTACATAGTCAACAACCACCTACCCCGAATCTTTCAATTCGCTCTTCTCCCTCCCATAACCTCTGGCCCACATTCTTAACTCTCGAATTGGCTGTAATTTCCCAAATGTCAAATTGCTTCTCATTCACGTCCCTGGCATGTTATTTCCTGTGTGGAAATAACCTCATTCTTCCCCTACCCATCTTCTAGCTTTAAGAAATATATTTTCTAGCTGGAACACCTCAATCTAGTCTTCCTGATTGCCAGTTACTTTGATTGATATGGCTTGTCAAGTGTCCGCCCCTTTCTTTTTTCACAAACTCCATCCAGAAATGAACCCTACCCCATCCAAACAAAGACAGCTTTCTATATTACAACTTAGAAATGAGTGCTAACTCCTATGTGCTTGCCAACACCCAAGTAGGTATCATTCCTTCCAAGAAATCTTTTCAAATTCTCTAAGCTGAATTTGGTGCCCATCCCCAGTGCCTCCATAACAGTTCCTGCCCACCTCTATCAGTGCTTCTTGTGCCATACTGCCATTGTTGACTTGTTTTCTGCCTGACTACACTGAGTTCCTTAGAAATAGCATATCTGTCCAGAAACTGGAGCCTACAAGACACTTAATATTACATTACTGGATGGATGGATGCTTGGGTCAATCAAAAATGGTGATTGTATATAACCTCTGGATCCTAGTCCAAAACCACTTCACACTGCACGAAACTGAAATTTGCTTAACCAAGAACGAGCAATGGCATAACCTGGTGGTCAGTGCAGGGAACGCACCCTACAGAACACAAGGACATTTTTTTTGGACTATTACTCTTTTGCTAGACACTATAGGGGGAGGGGGAGTTGCATTTTTAAAAGATCAAGCTGGTGATTGTCTATAAAATGGATTGGAGAAAGATAAGAGGATGCAAGGGCACCAATTGAGAAGTTATTTTGTCAGGACTGAAATGGAATCAAGTCCAAATCTGTGACTTCCAACACCAACATACCTAACCACTATGTAATACTGTTTAACAGGGGCTTTCTCCACTGAGCATTGTGGGAGATGGATTCTAAGATCTGTTCAATGATTCAATGACCCCTGCCTCCTGTTATTCATGCCCTTAGGTGATTAATATCCTCCCTGAAGTGAGCTGGCCTAGTGACTTGCTTCTAATAGCATGTGGCAAATCTGATGGGATGCCACTTGCATGATTGTGGCTTGTTAACAGACTCTGCCATGTTGACTTTGATGAAGGAAGTTACCATTTTGGGGAGGCCCACATGGCAAGAAACTAAGGGCAGCCTCTAATAGTCAGCTAGTACACTCAGTCCCTCAGTCTGACCCTCAAGGAAATGGAATTCTACCAACAATGGATGGAAGTCTGGAAGATCTTTCCCCAGTCTCCACTGCAACTACAGACTGGCCAAGGACAAATTGATTACAGTCTTGTGAGAAACTCTAACGCAGAGGACACAGCTAAGCAATGCCTGTACTCCGGACCCATCAAAACTCTGAAATAACAAATATGTGTTGCTTTGAGCCATAAGTAAGTTTTTAAGCAACAGATTAACAAATGCAAGCACCTAACAAAAATGTGCCATCTTCATGCAGAACCTTCTAGAAGCCTGGGAAACTTTCTGCCGTCAGAATCTACTACTGTATCACTTAGGTTTCTCTCACTGTGCCATGCTCCCTCCCCTCCCCAGTTCTGTAGCATTTCAGTGAGAGCTTTATGCAGTTGATTCCACAGAGTTTACTGTCACCTGTGTTGACATTCTTTTGTTGTTGTTTTTTGACCTTGTCAGGTCCTGCTAGGTGGTTTACAAGCCACACAGGGAGGGCAGCTTACAGAGAAACGTCACGAACACGTGGATGGAGTCAACACCATGGGCATCAATCCCCAGAAAGGAAATGGAGTAACTGGTTTCAGATGCACACAGCACTCCCTTTAGAGTATACTGGGATGGATTATATGGTACTGAAGGCAGTGCAGCCATGCTGGGATACTATAAACGTGCTTAATTCCTACTGGCAGACAGGAAATGAGATAGAGTCCCACAAAGGACCTGTCAGAATCAGAATTGGAGAAATTCAGCCAAAAGGTCTATTAAGATCCTGAACAATTTGAGTCTAAATGAGTTTCAATCAAGGTTAACTCATAAATAGGTCATCAGATGTTTTCCTGGTTTCTCATTCTCCATGCCCTTATATTCTCTCTTCCACAATCTTTTAAAGTTGCCATTTAAATGACTTTTTTTTTTTTTTCCACTACAAATGGCTGAGCTCTGGGTCTCCTCCTTGGGCAGGCTATCGAGTAGATTCTTATGGTGGTCAGTGGCAGTCTCTCACATCTCTTCCAACTCTGAAATTCAGAGTTTAGCAGTTGACTTCTATCCCAAACCATGGTCTTTGTTGTGACCTCAGATTCTGCAGTCACTGTAGCTGGGCACAAGGAGAAGGGGGTAAACCAACCTCACCAACAGTGCAGAGATGCCACAATCACCCCTTTTCTAGTGCAGCCAAGTCGGTTATCATCCTCCATTACTCAATCTTCTTGTTCCCAGAGGAATTGAACGCTGGAGATCTGCCACATTACAGGCAACTGTCAAATAAGCTCAACCCCAATCTTCAAAACCTCTAGCTACAAAAAAGACTGAAAATGTCCTCAAAAATGACTCATCAACTTTTTTGTGGGAAGAAGAAACTCTTCTTTCTCAAATGCTATGACTTATAGGTAGTGCAGAATGGCACTGAGGGAGAGGCAAAGTACAGTGGCCAATACCCTGAAACAGACCCCACATGGCCCTGAGAGGGTCTCTACACAGCAATGGAATTCAGTACCATCCCAACTAAAAGAAGCAATGACAGCATTGACAAGCACACAGGGTCTCCTTCCAAGAAGTTCATGATTCACCTCCATGCCCTCAATTCTCATGACACCTCCCTTCAAGGCAGCAAACAGGGACAATGAGGAAGCCACAGTGTGTTCTTGTCCCGAGAACTGTTTGTCAGGTCCACTCTCACTGAGTCAGTCCCTGGAAGTTGGGTTCAGTAAATGGAGGCAGGGCCACTGGTTGGCTTAGCAACTTGTCCATTATGCTGATTTTAGCATCTTGCTTCTCAATGTCCTCATACGGAGTCCAAGACAAGTCATGTTGAAGCTTGTAGGCACCAAGGAACTTGTGTGGACAACTTGTCCCCCATTCCTAGAGAAGGCAAAAGAGTCAGTTCTGATTAGAGTAGGTCATAAACAACTCACTTCTTACAGATGCCTCACATTGCTTTCATTCCAGGCCAGTCAGGACCTTCCTTGGAAAGCTATTAGATTATTGTTGTTATTGTCAAGTGTTATTGAGTCAGTTCCAACTCAGGGTTTCAGAGACTGTAAATCTTTGTGGGAACAAAAAATCTCATCTTTCTCTTGGTGGAGCGGCTCCTCCTCCAGTGCTTATCCTATGGAGTCACCATGCTCCCAGCTGTTATATTACACATCAGATAATTCCTTTAACAAACATATTATTGTTGTTAAGTGCCATCGAGTCAGTTCTAACCCACAGCAACACTGTAAAGGGTTACCAAGGAGCTGCTGGTGGGTTTGAACTGCTGACCTTGCAATGCAAACTGACCTTGCAGTCTAGTACATTATTCTGCAGCACTACACCAGGACTCCTTAGCTATATAATGACTTTAAAAAAATCTAAGCACATGGGCTGTTAATCTGAAGGTTTGCAGTCCAAAGTCATCCAGCCACTGAGGAAGAAAGTCCTGGCAAATTGCTTCCAGAAAGATTAGAGCCAAGAAAGCCGATGGAGCACAGTTCTACTCTGTCACACATTAGGTTGCCACAAATTGGACTTAACAAGAAGTTTGGTTTAGTCTTTTGTAAAAAAAATATGTTTTGCCTTCTTCTAAGACTGAAACTCACAGGGAACACAAGAGCAGTCTTGTATGCTCGCTAGTGACCACCCTGGTCTACTTGTGAGTGGAAGTGGGGGAAATGCAGCCCGGAAGACATGGGCTGAGTTTGGCTGTGTTCCATTGACACTCATTGACCTTGAGATGAGAGACGAGGAAGGGCTGGTTGCTCTAAAGTTTAGGGAGATGTGTGAACTCCCGAGCCCATGGACACTGACCTAGCCACTGGGGGCTAGATCTGAGAGTGAAGCAGCTAGCTGGTGTGAAGTGGGTGGAGATGTGCAAGAACTCACAAACTTGCAGATAGTACCCATTTGACCCAGCTTGGATGGTTACCTGACCAGAACTCCACCAGATGAAGATAAGAAAGTTTGATACTAGGAGCAAGTGTAAATTGCTACAAGTTGATGAACTGGACCTTCGCTTATGGATGCTGCTGCTCAAAATTCCAACTGAAATGGAAGGCCTCTTCATATCAAGGAACAAGCTTGCCGCCTCAGTACACTGGGTTGATAGGGATGGACACCTCAGACATTGGCTATCAAAAATGGGGGGCTATAAAGGCACACAGTGGCTGGCTTACAAACTTTCATGAGTGTGCTTAGTTTCAGAATGAGGAGGGTAAGGTAGAATCCCCACTGAATAGTTCTCTTCTTTTCCAGATAAGATGTTACGATGCAGTTGTATGTAATTGTTATCAGGACTAATTGTGATTAGCTCAATGGTAAAAGTATGTGTGTAAATAAAGTGGGGAATAGTTAATCTTTCATTTCAGTAACAGAGGACTCTAGGACCATCAGGGGAAAGAGTATGAGTGGAGTGTGAGATCCTACCCAGAGAAGCAGCAACAGTGAGAGAGTGGCAGAGGCGATGACATGGAGTGACAGAGCAGCTGAGGACTCTAGGCCCATGACGGAGAATGGCTGTGTGCCTGCGGGCAGGAGGCTGGCTTTGCAAAGCGTGCCCTTTGGACACTGAAACGAATATGTATTTTCTGTTTTGTATGTGCACATAAAAAAAAAAGGAGAGGGGGAGAGACAAATACTGTTCACTGACGGCACATGGAGGGGGATGTAACCATTGCAATGAAACAAAATATGATTTATTGAATGTAAAACTGATGATCTGCCCTGTAAACTTTCACTCAATTCGTAATAAAAATGTTAAAAAATATATGTTGTTGTTGTTGCTATGTGCCGTGGAGTCGGTTCCAACGCATAGCGACCCTGCACAGGGTTTCCGAGGCTGTTAATCTTTACAGGAGCAGAACGCCTCATCTTTCTCCCGCAGAACTGCTGGTAGTTTCGAACTGCTGACCTTATGATTCACAGCCCGATTCGTAACCACTACGCTACCAGAGCTCCTTAAAAATATATATAGAGATACATAGATAGATATATACTTTGGAGTTCACTCACCTCATCCCCAATTTTCTACAAAACTATTTACCAGCTACCGCCCCCACGCCCCTATGCCTCCATTTTCACACACATATGCCATATGCCAAGAGCTCTCACAAGCTAGAGTAGATTTTTGAGCCAAGAATATATGTTCCTACCTTTGGAGAAATTATAGAAAAATACTGCTGACCACTCTCTCGTTTATACAGATAGTAAATGTTGCCAGGTTTTTTCACAATATTACAAGCTATGTGGTGCAAGTCAGCATCTCTGTGAGCATCTTCCAATACCTAAGAATCAGAGAGGGAGCAAATCAGGCAGTCATAATCAGTGATCAGCCCAGCTGAAATCTAGAAACTGTTCAATGCTTAGGCTCCTGCATATATCCCACCTAGCAATAAGTCACTAGTGGAATCCAGATGAAACAAAAAAGTAGACTATATGTATTGTTGTTGTTAAGTGCCGTCGACTCAGTTCTGACTCATAGCAACTCTGTATAGGATTTCTAAGGAGCAGCTGGTGGGTTTGAACCGCCAACCCTGGGGTTCAAACCAACCTTGTGGACAAGTACTTATCTTACAGCGCCAAACCAGGACTCCCCAAACTATATTACTATGCTATAAAAATGCCTTTAAAAGAATACATTTCAAAATGTTGACCATTACTGGCAATGAGTAGTTTTTCAATTTCTTCCCTAGTTTTCTGTAATGAGTACATTTCTTTTATAACTAAAAAAAAAATTTTCTTTGAAGTGCTTTGTTTATCTTTGAACTTTCTCTCAAGGAAAAAACGTATGCTTAACCTCTCAGGCTTTTACTCAACCCCTTTACATTTCTGTTGTTGTTAAGTGCTGTCGAGTCAGTTCCGACCTGTAGCGACCCTGTATAGGGTTTCCGAGGAGCTTCTGGTGAGCTTGAACTGCTGACCTTACAGTTCAAACGGCTTTGCAGTCTGGCATGTTAACCCACAACGCCACACCAGGACTCCTTTACATTTCTAGGAATTACTTAAAACAAGTCCAGCCTGTGAACTAAATGAATAAAAGAGCCTTCCTAAAGTCATTACTTACCTTCCTGGCTTGTTCTTGCAAATGTTGGATTTGCTCAGCTATGACAGTCAGCTTATTGGTGGCATTTGCTCGGATAAATTCATCAGCCTACAGAAGAAAGATCTCACTGTAAGATGGAAAAAGATGACTTCTCTGATGTTCTTATTTGGAACCCAGTGTGAGGCATTGTCAACATCTTTGCTTAGGCCAGAAATATTCTTTCCATTCTCAATCCCCATCATTCTTCCCAAAGCCCAGCACCAACAGCACCGCTTATCACACCACATTACTTCCCATCCTTTCATTCTCTAGTCACACTGAACTTCTGTCCCCAACATTCCCTGCTCTCTGCCTTACTATCAAATACTTGAACATGCTCTCACAGATGCTCCCTCCTCTGATATATTCTTCACGTTGCTCTTTGTCTGACTAACCCTACTCATTCTTCAGATCTCTTATTTTTTCTTGTTTAAACACTGCTGAAATCAGGGATGAGTCTTACATTGAAAATCAAAAATCACTGTGATATGCTTCTTAGTACTTGCTTGTACAAGAATCTAGGTATATACAGTATTTTTTATCTGACCATTACCTCAGCTGAATTATTTATAAAACGTACTATGATACAAACCTGAAACAAAGTTATAATGTTCATAGAAGAAGCCTGTCATTTACCAGGAAATTCAACTGAAGGTAAATGAAATTGCTTAAAAACAGATCATAGGATTTTGAAAGTTAGCAAGAGATTAGTGCAACCAAGTCATATAATGGGAAACATTTTTACACTCAGGCATCTGAAATCTGTCAAAACTTCCAGCTTACTTTCAAGAAAAGCTGAATAACTTCCAGTGGCACACAATTAAGTTAAAGAAAAGAAATTAGGAGGTTAAACCTGAACCTAAACTATGAACTACTAACAGAATTTGCTGGTTAGTTCAGGAAACTTCAGGTGAATGGTTGACAGGATCAGAGAGGCCGAAGACAGGCAGGTGCAAGCCAAAGTTATGAGTGAAAAGAAACTAAATGCATAAACAGAATCATTTTTTGTTTCAAATATACATTAAGCAACAACTGTGGGTCAGATATCATGCAAGACACAGGGTGCAGAGAAGTTCCTACCTTCCTCAGACTAAAAATATCAATCAAGCAAGCCCCACAGTAATTTTAAATTTACTAGTAGCTGCATTAAAAGTAAAAATTGGCAACATTAATTGCAATTTATTTATGTAACCCAATATATTTAAAAAATTACCATTTCAACACACTATCAACCTAAAAGATTACTATTGATGTACTTTACACTTCCCATTATGTCTTTGAAATCATGTATATTTTATATTTATAACCCATCTCAATTTGCACACTAACAGTCACTGAAAATACTTGATTGATATTTAGATTTCATAAAAATAGTTCAAAAAGTCAGTTCAATACTCAAATTGTTATACATACATATGTATCCAATTATCGAACCAACTATCAGATTCTCAATTCAAATTAAAATGACATAAACTTAAAAATGCTGTTCCTCACTCGAACTAGCCACACATTCCAAAGCTCAATAGCCACATGTAGTGACCATATTAGACGGAGAGCACAGCTCGTCAGTAAGACACCAGAAAAAAGACAATTAAAGCTAGTGCTACATGTATTCTGTTTAATGATGCAATATTATGAAGAAATAACAGATACATGGTAGAAGCAGGCTAAAGACAACAAATAACTGTTTTCATAATAGGGAGCGGTGAGGTCTACAGAAAATGCTCAGCATTTCTCAAGCTGAACAAACCAAAGAAAAAATTCAAGCCTCGACTTTTTGCAATTTTCCCAGCCCATGAAGACCACTGTTGCCATGGAGTCCTGGAGTGGCACTGTGAGTTAATGCGCTGGACTGCAGAGTTGGTTTGAACTGCAAGGTCAGTGGTTCAAGCTCATCAGCTGCTCCTTGGAAGCCCTATACAGGGTTGCTATGAGTTAGAACCAACTCAACGGCAATAACAAGAGCAAAATACTGAAATGTAGACACCAAAAGAATGTGGAAGGAATACAGAGTCACTGTACCAAAAAGAAATGGATGATGTTAAATCATTTCAAGAGATGACATATGATCAAGAGTCAATGGTACTGAAGGAAGAAGTTCAAGATGCACTGAATTCATTGGCAAGAACAAGGCTCTGTCATAAAGGGAGAAGAGCGGAGAGCGGAACCCTACACAGAGAGGCAGCAATCCCCGAGATGGAGGCAGAGATGATGACGTGGAGAGATGGAGCAGCTGGGGACTCAGGACCCAGGGAGGAAGAGGGGCTGCGTGCTGATGATTTGGGGGGGGAACAGCCTTATAGGATGTTCCCTTTCGTTGATTGGTGATGCATGGAGGTGATTGTAACCATGGCAATGAAACAATATACAATAGGATGAATGTAAAACTAATGTTCTCCCATGTAAACTGTCACATAATTCACAATAAAACTTAAAAAAAAAAAAAAGAACAAGGCTCTGAGAATTGATAGAATACAACTTGAAAGCATTCAACAAACTGATACAACACTGGAGGCACTCACTCATCTATGGCAGGAAATTCGGAAGACAGCTTACCTGATCATCTGACTGGAAGAGATCCATATTTGTGTCCATTTCAAAGAGAGGTAACCCAATGGAATGCAGAAATCATCAGGCAATATCATTAATATCACATGCAAATAAAATTTTGCTAAAGGTAATTCAAAATTGGTTGCTACAGTACATTGACAGGGAACTGCCAGAGGTTCAAGCCAGATTCCGATGAAGACGTGGAACAAGGAATACTATTGCTGACGTCAGATGGATCTTGGCTGAAAGCAATGTACTGTGCTTTACTGACTATGCAAAGGCTTTCCGACTATGTGGGTCATACAAGCTACAGACAACACTGCATAGAATAAGTATTCTGTAACACTTAATTGCACTTAGGAGGGACCTGTACCTAGACCAAGAGGAAAGTCGTTCAAACAGAACCAAGAGGACATTGAATCATTAAAAATTAGGAAAGGTGTGCTTCAGGGTTGTATTCCTTCACCATATTTATTCAATCTGTATACCAAGCAAATAATCAGAGAAGCTGAATAATATGAGGACATGGCATCAGGATTAGAGCAAGACTTATTAACAACCTGCGATATGCAGATGATACAACCTTGCTTGCCGAAAGCGAAGAGGATTTAAAATACTGATAAAAGCCAAAGACCACAGTCTTCTGTATGGATTGCACCTCAACATAAAGAAAACAAAAATCTTCACCACTGGATCAATAAATATCACAATAAATGGAGAAAAGATTGAAGTTTTCAAAGACTTCATTTTGCTTGGGTCCACTCACTATCAACACTCATGGAAGCAGTAGTCAAGAAATCAAACAATGGATTAGGTAAATCTACTGTACAAGACCTCTTTAAAATGTTGAAGAGCAAAGATGTCAGTTTGAGGACTAAGGTGCACTTGAGCCAAGTCATGGTATTTTCAATAACCTCATATGCATGTGAAAGTTGGATAGTGAATAAGGAAGACCATAGAAGAATCGATACATTTGAGTTATGGTATTGGAGGAGAATACTGAAAGTACCATGGGCTGCTAGAAGAACAAACAAATCTGTGTTGGAAGAAGCACAACCAGAATGCTCCTTAGAAGCCAGGATGGCCAAACTTCATCTCTCATACTTCAGACATATTGTCAGGAGGGACCAGTTCCTGAAGAAGGACATCATGCTAGGTAAAGTGGAGGGTCAGCAAAAAAGTAGACCCCCAACAAGATGGACTGACACAGTAGCAGCAGTGATGGGCTCAAGCTTAACAAAAATTGTGAGGATGGCACATTACCAGGCAGTGTTTCATTCTGCTGTGCTTCAGGTCACTATGAGTTGAAACCGACTCAACAGCATCTAACAACAAGAAGAAGTGAGGAATTGGAACGCATGTGTAGTCAAGACATTCTCACTGAGGATGTCACATATGACTTGAGTGTGAGTAAAAAGAAGGAATCCTGGTAGCACAGTGCGTGGCTGCAAACCAAAAGGCTGGCAGTTTGAACCCACAGGTTGCTCTGTGGGAGAAAGACATGGCAGTCTGCTTCCATAAAGATTATAACCTTCCAACTTCCCAAGGAGCAGCTGGTGGGTTTCAACTGCCAACCTTATGGTTCACAGTCCAGTGCTGATCCTACAATGCCACACCAGGAGTCCCACTTAACTCTTAGAACTACCTAATATAGTTGAAGATGATAGCCTCACTTTCTCATTTTAGGAACCAAACTCAGAAAGGTGAGGTAGCTTGTCCAAGGTTTCAAAGCTAATAAATGGCAGTTGAAGGATCTGGACACAGAACTCAAACTCAACCCATTACCATAGAGTTAGCTCTGACTCAGACTGACTCACTGTGTAGGACAGAGGAGATCTGCCCCTAGAGGGTTTCCAAGGCTCTATGTGACCTTTATGGGAACAGAGTACCACAGCCTTCTCTGGAAGAGAGGCTGCTGACTTCAAACCACTCACCTTGTGATTAGCAGCCGAGCACCTTGTACTACCAAGGTTCCTTTCTGACGATAACACTGATCCCTAAATGGCATGTTAGAGGTCAGTCCTGCGAGAAGGCTCATACATTTCAGTATAAACCAAACCAAACTTAATACCGTGGAGTCAATTTCAACTCACAGGACCCTACAGGGCAGAGGAGAATTGCCCAGAAAGTTTCCGAGGCTGTAAATCTTTACAGACACAGACTGCCTGCCACTTTGTTCTTCTTTGAAGCGACTGGTGAGTTTGAACTGCTGACCTTTTGGTTGGCAGCAGAGCACACTTTAACCTCTGTGCCACCAAGGTACCTGCAATGTAGTACACAGAGAGTGTGCATGCTTGATTCAATTGTTGTTTCTAGAGTGCTTTGTCTTCAACTTTTCAATGACTGACTATGTTGGAGAAACGAATGCATTCTCTGTATTTCACTAGATGACAGGCTGAAAGACAAAAACTATGTTCCTTATTTCTTTGGCTCAGATCATTGTAGTGAACATAATCACTCAATAACACATAGGAAAAATGCTCTATTTGCCCCAGATTCTGACCCTCCCTACCAATAAGAGTGAACTGACTAAACAGACATGATAGTCTCCTAATCCATAAAAATTGTACTTTGCTCCCCACCTCTTTAGAAAAAAGAAGGCAGTTTGAATCAAAGGGGAGTCCTCCTAAGTATTTCAATTTTTAATTAAAAAACAAAACACTGAAGTACAGAGATGTACATATGAGGCAGTTTGAGAGCACTTATTTTAGTTATTAAATCTTCTAAGCAAAAACAGGACCTCTGAACATAATGAAGACCAAATCTGACAGTGCACACAAGGCTGACGAGAGTTTAGTTATTTAAAGTGGCAGGGTCCTATGTTGTTGTTAAGTGCCCTTCAGTCAGTTACAACTCAGCAACTGTATATAGGCTTTCTGAGGAGCAGCTACTGGGTTTGAACCACTGATTTTCAGTAAGCAGTCCAGTACTTATCCTGCTGCGTCAAACTAGATCCTATATCCGTGCTAATTAAAGGTGTGGTGCTGTGGGATAAAGCACTGGATCACAAGGTCGGCTTCAACCACAAGGTCGGTGGTTCAAATTCACCAGTTGCTCCTTGGAAACCCTATGAGTCGGAGCCGACTCGACGGCACTTAACAACAACAGGCCTGGCCATCTACTACCGAAAGGTCATAGCCTTGAAAACTCTACGTAGCAGTAGCTCTACTCTGTAGGCATGGGGTCGCTTTAAATCAGAATGATTCCACCGCAACTAACAAAACATGCATGTCATAATATTTGGTTGCAGTGATCTTGAAACATGCGGGGCTCCCCTAAGGCACAAATAAAATAATGAAAACAAAGTCCGGTGCAAATCTCCCATGGAGGTAGATTATGATACTCAAGTTGCAGTTGAAGCAGTCTTTAGTCACAGAAGATCAAGGTTCGAGAAAGACCCCCTAGTCTACCAAACAAATACAGTAACAAATGATACTCCACATAAGTAGTTGTCAGGTCCGAGCCTTTAAGAGGCGGGATAAAACGTGAACAAACATGGTTATTTAGTCCCCCAGCCGCGCCTGCTCACCTTCTGCACCTGCTGTGCGAGCGCCACGAGGTCTAAGGGGTCCCCGGCCCGGTGGGTGTGATAAGGGCTCACCAGGGCCAAGCCGCCGGGGGTCGGGGTGAGCTCCACCAGGGCTCCTGCGACACACACCCAGACACACAGGCTGTGAGCTACCGCCCTCAGCCTCCCGAGGAGCCCGAGAGACTAGCTGCTCCGTGACAGCTTCTTTCCCCATTCTGACTCCCACCTCGCGCCCCTCCCTCACCTGTCGCCGGTAGAACCCCTTGATTTTCAGTAGCTTCCTCAGCCCGAACCGACGTTGCAGTGGCCGCCATAACTCTGGCTCACCAACACCAACACCAGGACAGTTCAAGTCGAAAGAGCATGCGTATAGACGCTTATAGGCGGGGCTTCCTTATTCCTAGGCCATTGGGACATCGGAGCTCAGAGGCGGGGCTCTAGCTAAGGGGCGGAGTCCAGGCTGGTCGAAAGCTAGAGACAGGGCGTACGTCAGCAGGTTCGAAAGGCGGGACTTCGCTGGGGGTGGGTCTCCTCCGCGGGGGGTGAGGGGGGTAGGACTCTGGCCTTCGTGGCGGCTGGCTGGCTGACTGACTGGCCCCAGGTCCCGTTAGTTTGGCGGAGGCGATGGCTACGCGCGCGTTGAGGCTGCTGATCATTCTGCTGGCTGCCGCTGCCGTTGCTGCTGCCGCTGCCTCCCCAACCGAAATCGAATCCGAGACAGGATGGGTCATGGCGGCACCTGATCTGCTCTTCGCGGAGGGGACCGCGGCCTATGCGCGCGGGGACTGGGCCGGGGTGGTGCTGAGCATGGAGCGGGCGCTGCGCTCGCGGGCAGCCTTGCGCGCCCTCCGCTTGCGCTGCCGTACCCAGTGTGCCGCCGACCTCCCGTGGGAGCTGGATCCGCACTCGCCCCTGAGCCCGGCCCAGGCCTCGGGCGCCACCGCCCTGCTTGACCTGCGCTTCTTCGGGGGCCTGCTGCGCCGTGCAGCTTGCCTGCGCCGCTGCCTTGGGCCGCCGGGCACCCACGCACTCAGCGAGGAACTGGAGTTCGAGTTCCACAAGCGGAGCCCGTACAACTATCTGCAGGTCGCCTACTTCAAGGTGCAGCCCTGCCCAGGGCCAGGTGGCTGGGGTCTTTCTGGGGAGAGGCGTGGTTGCAGGCAATCCCGGGGAGTTTAGGGGACCAGAAGAGAGTTTGGAGAGAGGGAATGTGGCCTTTTGACTTATTCCCAGAACCAGGGAGAAAAGAACGCTGCCAGGACCTGCCTCCCTGGGATCAAGTAGGTAAATGCTAACCCCAAAGGTTCAGCCTGGGTTTAAAGCACGGACCATGTGAAACTTGGCCATTTGTTTCCAGGGAGGTCTCCTAAAGGACTTAAAGTGGCAGTCTGGGTAAACTTGCATCCTGACTTCATTGCAAGTGCGTGAGAAGGTCTACAAGATCTTTCTTCTGGTTCATTTTCCCACTTTCAGCTTTTCCTGCTGCCTAAACCCAACAGCTCTCATTTCAGGGCGTGAGATTGCCACGTCACCAGCAGGGGCTGCCTGGCCCCTGCCTGTAGGGGACCTTCTGGCTAGTGTGTCAGGTTTTCAGAGAAAATGAGTATGTTTAGAAATGTTCAAATGTACATATGGGCTAGAACTCTTCCTCCTTATGTGATGATGATAGAGATAATAGTGATACGGAGGTTGTGCATTTTCCAGGCATTGTTTTAAGCATTTTACATTTATTAAATAATTAAGATTTAAATGTATTAAATCATTTATTATCTAATCCTCACAATATCCTTGTTGTTGTTGTTGTTGTTGTTGTTGTTGTTGTTGTTGTGAAGTGCCATCGAGTCGGTTCCGACCCATAGCAACCCTGTATAGGATTTCCGAGGAGCAGCTGGTGAGCTTGAACTGCCGACCTTGCAGTTCAAACAAACGGCTTTGCAGTCTGGCGTATTAACCCACAGCGCCTAGGGAGGTGCTATTATTTGCCCCATTTTACTGATGAGGAAATTTAGTCACTAAGATGTAAATTCAGATATCTTGGGAGAGGCAGTGTATTGGAAGGGGCAAGCTAGAATTTTAAACATAAAAAAGGATGGTGTGGGCTACATTTTTATTATTATCTGTGTTTTGAAGGGACTTCCATTCAACCTAGGGGAGCCTTGGAGAATATACAGGGGATCTTAGATTTCTCTATCTCCACAAGTCCTGGTATGGTGCTGTGGGCTAATGCGCCGGACTGCAAAGTCGGTTTGAATCACAAGGTTGATGGTTCAAGCTGACCAGCCCCTTCTTGGAAACACTATACAGGGTCACTATGGGTCAGAACCGACTCAACGGTGCGCAATGACAATACAAGCAATCTGTTTACATAATCCCCCTCCATTCCTCCTAGGTACTGGAAAGAGTAATGGACTATGTCTTTGGTCATGTAATTAACAGCTTTCTAAACATTTTTGACAAATCTTGAAGGCGTCCTGGTGGCATGGTGGGTTCATCATTGGGCCACTAACTGCCAGCACCTACTACATTAAAATGCTTGGCTCTGGTACTTTTGTTTTGCTTTGTTGTTAAGTATCACTATAGTTGTTGTTTTTGCTACGTGCTGTGGAGTCGGTTCCGACTCTTAGCAACCCTGTACAGGGTTTCCGAGGCTGTAAAAAGCCTCATCACTATAGTAAGCGCTACTAAAGTTGCATGTTCTTGGGACTGTAGGTGCACAAAAGAGGGAGAATCTAGTTTTGCTTCCAAGATGTTAGACTTGAAAGAGGAGGTGACAGTTGAAGCTGATCCTAAATATCACTAGGGAGAGAAGGATGACCGTTCCAGAGAGAAGGAAAAGTAGAATCAGAGCATAATGTCTTCAGGAAATAACGTCACATTTTGTGGCTGGGGTGTTAGACATGTGGGGGGATTTGCAGGAGAGGAGACTGGAAAATTAAATGAGACCTGATTGAGAGAGGCTCAGCTACAGTTCGAATTGGGTTTCAGTGTATTTGTTCTGGAAGCAGTGTGGGAAAAGTCTTGGACGAAGGAAGTAGTGGCAGTGCGACCAATTGCTACTGTTAAGTGTGATCGAGTCAGTTCCAATTTATAGTGCAAGTGAGCCTGTACAGGGTTTCCAAGGAGTGACTGGTGGGTTAGAGCCACCACCCTCTCAGTTAGCAATCCAGTGTTTATCCTACAGCACCACACCAGGACTTCGGGTGACCAATTGTTGTTAAGCGCCATCAAGTTGGTTCTGACTCACAGGATTTCCGAGGAGCAGCTGATAGGTTTGAACTGCCATCCTTGTGGTTCGCAGTCCAATGCTGATCCTACTGTGCCACCCCAGGAGTAAAGCTGTCCAGATAAGAGAAGGAAATTAGGTGCTCAAGGAGTAAGAAAGAGCTGGGATGGGAAAGAGTAGGCGGGGCAAGAGGGGTTAGGCAAGAACACTGCTGAAAGATATGGGAGAGAATACATCCATAAAACAGATCCATGTCCTGATGGAATGCCAGAACTGGGACAGACTCAAGAGAAATGACAATTTTATAGCTAGAGAAAGTGAGGTACAGAGATGGAGAATTATGTACCGTACGTCACATAGTTATTTTAAGGTCTGAGCCAGGACTGACTGCTGATTCAGTGCAAATTTATTAGTACTAATAGAAATAGAAAAAAACAACAAACATATTAATAATTTAGTGAGTATTTAGTATGTGTTCAGCACTGTGTACCAAAAAATATATATGCAAATAAGTCAAAAAGTATTGCTACAAAATCATAGAAACCTTCATTCAAGAAAAATATCAAAATGTGAAACTATTGCTTCTTGGCAGGTCCTCCATCTAGGTCTCTACACTTCTGAAGGCAGTGTTTCCATCTCTCAAACCCTTTTCCCAAAAGATTCTAAGTTCTTCAGTTTATGCCATTTTGGCATCTTCAAAGAACTCAAACTGTGTTCTTTTTAAGTGTTCTTTGAGCTTTGAGTGTAGGGTGGATGGGGTAAGGTCTCCCAATGAAATCCACAAAGAATAAACAAATGTGGCACTGTGGATTAATGCGCCAGACTGCAAAAGGCGTTTGAACTACAAGGTTGGTGGTTCAAGCTCACCAGTTGCTCCTTGGAAACTCTATACAGGGTCGCTATGGGTAGGAACCGACTCGACAGCACTTAACAACAACAACAAATCCTTTGCTACCCTCGAAGAATAAACAAATGCATTGTCAGGATAGAAAAGAATTCCTCAGTACAATTTTCTTGGTCTTTTTCTCAGCAATGCAGTTTTCTTAAAACTTCTTCCCAATAAACCCCCATGTTTTCCTCTGTCCTTCAAGAAAATCTATCAAAATAGCCCTTTGGAATTTCAAAAAGTCGTCACCATAACCTTCTGAGCTGACCTATCTGCCTTTCATTTAACTGGCCTCTCTGAAGCTACTATTTTGATTGGATTTTTTAAGGCACCCAAAGGAGACAAAAGGAGCTCTAATAACATAGTGGTTATGAATTGGGCTGCTAACCTCAATGTCAGCAGTTCTAAACTGCCAGCTGTTCCATGGGAGACAGATGAGGCTTTCTGGTCTCATAAAGATTTACAGCCTCGGAAATCCTGTACAGGGTCGCTGAGTCAAAACCAACTCCACAGTACACCACCACCAAGGAGACAAAGACAAGGAGAACTTGCCTACAGCTATCCTCTGCAGAGAAATGTTTCAAACATGTTTCATGTGGAATAAACTGGAACCCTAGTAGCACTACTTTTTTGACTTCCCCTCATCTAGATTTCATTTCACTCTCCCAGTAGGTAGTGCCATCGGTAGTTTGTCTAAAGCCCCCAGCAAGTGAGAAATAAAACCTATAAGCATCACAAGTATGTCAAACACCAAAGCTTATGTGGTTAAGCACTAGATTATCAGAGATTGTGTTACTTACTTTGCTATATTTGAACTTACTGCTGTGGATATTCTTATAACCTTTTTTCTGTCCGATTCTATGTAATCACTTGTTTTAACCTCATAGGAACCCTAGGCTTTAGACCAGAAGATATCATGTCTGGGTTTTGTAGAGGATTTTAGGATTATTTTAGCCACCTACCTTGATTTTATTTTATGCAAAATAATAATAATAATAATGTTCTAGGGAAATTCTTAAGCACAGTTTGTTAACTCTTCTTTCTCCCCTGGCTCTGAATCCTTTGCATTTTCTTCATCTCAGTTACTACATTTGAGTCCTGAAACATTATCTAGGCAGTCAGTATTCCATCATGTACCCTACAATACTTTTGTTTTAAAATAGCTGAAGTATTACCATCTGTAATTTAGGGACTCCCCGAGCCTGATTTGAGAAGTAGCTGAAAATCTGTCCAGGGCACTGTGTTCCTAGTTTCTGATATGTCATCCCTACAATCCTTGTTTTCTGAGGCTGGCAGGAGCTGGGCACCTGTTTCAGTGACTGTCTGACAGCAAGGCTCAGGAAAACTGAGATTTCCTGTTTACTGTCTTCTGTTCCGCTGCATCCCTAACAAACCTTTAGCATTGGGATGGGATGTGAGAATTTCGGTCTTGTGCTTCATTCCTAGATAAACAAGTTGGAGAAAGCTGTAACGGCAGCACACACCTTCTTTGTGGGCAACCCAGAGCACGTGGAGATGCGTCAGAATCTAGACTATTACCAAACCATGTCTGGGGTGAAGGAGGCCGACTTCAAGGATCTTGAAGCCAAACCCCATATGGTGAAAACTTTCTATTCCTTTCTCTCGTTTTCCACAGTGTCATTTATTAAGGTTGTTGTCTGGTTACGGAAGTAATGTATGTTCGTTGTACAACAGTAGAAAAATGCATGTAAGTGAAAGGCAGAAGGTGATCATGGTATTTAAAAAAACCACGCGTTTCTATTTTGGCCTTGTTTTTTTTTCCATGTCATCCATATTTTATGTTGTTAACCTCATTTTATGTCACCATCAAATTTTTTTAAATTGTGGTAAATAGATGTAACAAAACAACTGCCTTTTCAACATTCTTCGCATGTACAATTCAGTGGCATTGTGTTTATCGTATTCAGCCATTTCCCTAAATGTTGGGCTTTTTTATTTATTCATTTTTTACTGCAAGTTAGGTCTTGAGCCTTTCCTCATGTCTTCAAATTTTCTCTGAAAACGTGATTTTTAGTGGCTGCGTGTTAGTCCGTTTTATGCATTGTTGTTAGTTAAGTGCTGTCGAGTGGGTTCTGATTCCTAGCACGTTAATTTTTCACTTCTTTTGGTCATGTAGATTTTCACTATAATAAGTGATGTAGCTTTCCTCAGTGTTCTTATTCTTCTTGTTTAACAGGAAAGGTTCACCTTCCATGGGATATTGTTCATGATGCTATAGCACTTTTATAAAGAACTATGTTGTTAAGTGCCATCAAGTCGGTTCCAACTTTGGGACCCTGTTTTGGCTTTCCAAGGAGCAGCTGGTGTGCCTGAACCACCAACCTTGAGGTTCAAACCGACCTTGCGGTCCAGTGCACTGACCCACAGCGCCACACCAGAAGTTCAAACCATCATCTCTTAAATTTTTAATAGTTTAGAAAAAGGGGTATTAGAAACAATATCAGAATGACTTTAAATTGTAAGTCTAGCACATTTTACAGTTGCTCACAGTATTTCTTTTAGTGATTCTGTGACAAATGAAAATGGTTGTTGCCCCTGGCCTCTAATCAGCTGCGGGAGCCCCCATCACCCCTTATTTATCAGAGACATCGCTACCTTCACCACAGACCACACACTAGTGTTTAAAAGAGAGATTTTTTTTTTTTTTTTTTTGCTATTAAACTTTTTTTTTGAAAACTTTCAGCCCTACAGAAAAATACAAGGTTTTTGCAATGATCTCTCACAGAGCTTTCACTTAAATTAAGAGTTAAATGTTTTAAATTTCTAAAGGAACATGTAAACATTGTTTCCACCAGGCCTTCACTAGATAGCAGCCACACAGGCAACCTGACTATTGCAGGAACTGAAGACAGTAGCTAAGGGCAAAGAGAGAGGGCTCCTGTGTGGCCTGAGTTTGAGCGCTCCTTTCTCCCAGTAGCAGGAGTTTCGGCTGGGAGTGCGACTCTACTCTGAGGAGCAGCCTAGGGAAGCCGTGCCCCACTTAGAGGCAGCGCTGCAGGAGTACTTCGTGGCCCAGGAGGAGTGCCGTGCGCTCTGCGAGGGTCCCTATGACTATGATGGTTACAACTACCTCGAGTACAACGCTGACCTCTTCCAAGCCATTGCAGGTATGCAGCCCATAGCATAGATACCTCGAGCTCTAAGGTCCATGTCCAGGTCATTCAGATGCAGCACCTTCACCCTCAGCCCTATGTTGTCTAAACCTGCACATCTGACTGGAAACTGTGTCAATGCATTCCTGTTAATCAGACGTTGAATCCTGCAGGCTGACTTGGTTGCTCCCCCTGTTTGATTCCTTTCAGATCATTACATCCAGGTCCTCAGCTGTAAGCAGAACTGTGTCACCGAGCTTGCCTCCCACCCAAGTCGAGAGAAGCCCTTTGAAGACTTCCTACCATCCCATTATAATTACCTGCAGTTTGCCTACTATAATAGTAAGACTACTTTTCTCTTTCTCTGCTGCCTTGGACTAAGGAGCTAAAAGCAAAGTAGGCAGGGATTCTGGTCACTGTATTTCTTCCACATGTCTGGCCTCTTTCTGTGGCTATGGGAGCCACCTGGTCAGATGATCCCTGGGTACTTTGCTACCAGCCAATTGTTTACAAGACACTGGCTGGTACCAGCAGCAAAACCTTAGGGAGGAAGACTCTAGTACTGTTCTCTCTTGCCCTTTCTATAGCATTTACATTAAAGGCATCTGAAAAGTAATAACAAAGGTAAGGGATACTACCATTTAAACCCACACACAGGGCTTTTCACAGGTTTTCTCCCGAGTATAGTACTGAGGCTTTTGGAGACTCTATCGATATCCCTAAAAGCAACAAATCAGCAGATCTGTACTGAGCTCCGACTGTATGCTAAGCATTACATCGTAGCCAAGAATATAAGGTCTTTATAGGAGTCCTGGGGTAGCACTGTAGGATCGGTGTTGGACCACTTGCCATAAGGTTAGTGGTTCAAACCCACCAGCCACTCCTTGGAAATTCTATACAAGGTCACTAGGAGTCAGAATTGACTCCATGGCACTTAATGACAAAAACATCGTCAAGTTCAAAGAGTCCTAGTAACACAGTGGGCAGAGTGGGCTGCTAACTGAAAGGTTCCCAGCTTTGCAGAAGAAAAGGCCTGGGGGTCTGCTCCCATAAAGACACCGGTCCTAGAAGTGCAGTGGCGCAATTCTACTCTGTTCATAGAGTCCTCGGAGTGGGAATTAACTCCATAGCGCATGCATGCCAACTACAACACCACATACCAACAACAACACAGCACATACCAACAACAACACAGCACATACCAACCACAACACAGCGCATACCAACCACAACACAGCGCATACCAACAACACAGCACATACCAACAACACAGCGCATACCAACCACAACACATCACATACCAACAACAGCATCCAGTTGAGATGACTAACAGATATGAGCAAGACCCAGTTTGCCAAACAGACAATCTGCTATGGTAGCATTTCCCCCCTCCTGCAATCCACAGTGTAAAGACAGTAGGGAGATATGGGGACTATTCCTGAAGTTGATCCAGTGATTGGGAATTTAGATGTCAGGATTTTGAGAGATGCCGGCATTTTTGAAGATGTATGTATGTAGAGGGTTCTAATCCTTTTCTCTTTCAATATTTTACTACCCTGAGGTCATCAAATGGCTTACAGTCATTTCTATATGCTATATACTTTCATTTCTCCCACCAAAATTAGGCAGGAATGTTATCTAATAATCGCCTTCAAGTTTTGCTGAGCCTGAACACTAAGCAGTTCCTGGTACACAAGGATTAGGCACATTCTTCTGAGCTTTTATTTTTCCTTCTTTGCAGTTGGGAATTATACACAGGCTATTGAATGTGCCAAGACCTATCTCCTCTTCTTTCCCAATGATGAAGTGATGAACCAGAATCTGGCCTACTACACAGCTGTGCTTGGGGAGGAGCAGGCCAAATCCATTGGCCCCCGAGAGGTGAGAGGCCTGTGAGCTGCCAGCTGCCCTCAGACTGGAGGGCAGAAGAGTGGGGTAAAGGAGGGGAGTCAGCACTGCAGCATGGGGCAGAGCATTGGGCACTTGCACAGCCTGTCACTCAGGGAACAAGGGAGCACCTAAAGTGGAGGAATGCAAGGGAATCTTAGTTAGCATTCTGAGCCCAGAAGTTGGCCCTCTGCAGGCATGTTCTTTCCCCTCATTGGCATCTGATACCAGTTGGCCAAGAGCTGTCATGTCTAGCTTCTTGCTCATTTTCATTCCACACTTGCTTGTTTGCCGTCTCCTGTATCCTCCCCACCCCCTTTTCTTTCTTCCCTTGTCTGTTCTCCCCCACCTTTCAACATTATTGCCATCTCATTCTAAACTAGAGAAAATTTATGTCACACAAAGACTAGAATGAAGTGCTAACAGTAGTTATTCCTGGGAAATGTTTGTATTTTGCTCATTTACATAGTCTAAATGTCTTGCAGTGAATGGGGATTGTTTTTCTAATTGAAAACACAGAAAGTTTTTAACTTACTGAAGCTGGACAACGTGACCCTAGGTTCACTGCTTTTGAGACCAGAACAGTGAAGTGGATTTGAAGTCATGGTCTTGGCTCAAGTCCTGACTCCTTCACATACCAGCAGGATGACTTTTAGCACAATGTGTGTGATGTTAGGCTTACTGCATCACTTCTCCACGTCTCACTTTCCCCTTCTGTAAAATGAGATGATGATGCTGGCTCTGTGTTCAACACAGACTCAGTGCCAGGGTCAGATGAGCGTGAGATTATAAATGCGCTCTGTAAACTGACAGGACTGTACCAGTGTCCACACAGTGCCCGGATGGACACGTAGCATTGCAGAGTATCCAAGTAGAAGCTGCCCATTTTCCTCAGCACTTTGTGGACCTTGCTCACCTGTGTGCTGCTGGTCTCTCCCAAACCCCATCTATTTTCAGGATAGAAATGACTGTACTTTTGCACTTGTTTTTAACTTTGTCAGAGGAAAAAAAATGGTAAACAGCTACAATCCCTCTAGAGGCCACTTATCTGAACAAACGTAGAGAATGAGAAAATCAGCACACTTGTGCACTATTGTTGTTGTTGCTAAGTGCCATCGAGTCGAGATCTAACTCATAGTGACCCTGTACTGGGTTTCCAAGGAACAGGCTGGTGAGTTAAAACTGCCAGCTTTAGAGCCCCAAACCGATGTTGCAGTTTCCTGCATTAACTGGCAACGCCACACCAGAAGTCCTGTGCACTATTGTTAGGACTGTAAATTGAACTGTTTAACCCAGCAATTCCAGTGCCAGAGATTTATCCCACAGGTATAGAGGTACAACTTTGCAAAGGTAAATGCACACGACCTTCACTAGGACATTGATTTTAAAGACAAAAGACATACAAACTAGCAACAAGCTAAATGCTGTCAGTTTGGAGAGTGGTTTAAAAATTATGACACATTCATTCAGTGATCTGTAGACACCTCTTATGTTGTGTGAGGTGAATTACTATGCATCAATATGAAAAGCTCTCCATGATACATTTTTAAGTTAAAAAATAAAAACAAAGTAAGATCTGGAACTATAATTACACTATATCCTATTTATGTGGGTTTGTTTGTTTGTTTTTAAATACATATATATGCTTCAAGGACTCCTTGTGTGGCACTGTAAATCAGCACTGAACTGTGAATCACAAGGTCAGTAGTTCAAACCCACCAGCTTGCTCCTTGGAAACCCTATACTGGGTTGCTACGAGTCAGCACTAACTCAGTGGCACTGAACTACATATACTTCAAAATGTTCTGGACCTATTGATAGTAAACTATTACTGGGAATTATCCCTGAAGTTTGGGCCTGAAGGTCAGAGGTGAGGAGAATGACTTGAACTTTTGTGTTGTGTCTCCCATCACTCACCTGTCAGTTTGTCGTAGTGTGAGGGTGGGGTAGGGCGTGTTTCTATGATGCCAGAAGCTATGCCACCAGTATTTCAAACACCTGTAAGGTCGCAATAGTGGACAGCATTCTAGTGATGCTTCCAGAGTAAGAGATTAGGAAGAGAGGTATGGTGATCTACTTCTGAAAATAAGCCCGTGAAAACCTGTACATCACAACAGAACATTTTTTGGCATGGTGCTGGTAGAAGGTGCTCAAAATACACAGTGGCCACACGGTGAACTCAAGCCTACAAATGACCTTGAACATGGTGTATACCAGGCGATATTTTACTCTTTTGTGTGTGGGGTCGCCATGAATTAAAGCCAACATGTCAGCCACAACATTTATGTCTCTCTCTGGATTTCTTATGGCTATGTATGTGTTGGAGTCATGGTGTGATGGACTGCAACATCAGTTTAAACCACAAGGTTGGCAGTTCAAGCTCGCCAACTGCTCCGCGGAAATTCTCAACAGGGTTGCTATGATTCAAAACTGACTCGACAGCTCTTAACAACAACAACAACAACATATATATGTTACTTTTATGTGTTCTGAATGCCATCTAAAAGACACTTCAGGTCACTGAAAAGACTAGGTCCTAGTGGGAAAGAAAGGTGTAGAAGGCAAAATGTACAGCATACTTGTATGAATCTACCAGTAGAGGTATATGCAAGCTACGGTGGAATCTCACAGAATCAATCAAGGAGCAAGTCACATTTAAGATTGGTTTTACAAGCCTTCAATAAACAGCCGAGTTAGGGAAGGGCTTCTGAGACAAACAAATGTGCAAACAACCTGGACAGTTGTCCCATCTAGATGTGGAATATAATTCTGGGGAGTGACAGGAGGTGAGGACCTAGAAGGTAAAATTCTGATGGATCTTGAGTGTCCAGCCAGGGAGCTTGGGCATTGTTCCACAGGGTCGACAGTGGTGAACCCTTATAGGACTTTAAGCGGTGACATGACAAGGTGTGATGGCAGATGACTCAGAACAGGAAGGCGCAGGAGGCCTGAACAGGGCAGCAGCAGAGACGATGGGACCAATTAGATAGACTAGGGAGAGGAATTGGTGGAACACAGGGATGTTTGCACATCTTCCCCTTCATATCCAAGTTCCCAGCTGCAGAGACAGCATGGATCACCAGGTGAAACAGGGAGTTTAATGTTCCTCTGTTTGCTGAGAGAAGCAGGCAGATGATGTAACAGTAAATAGGACTTCCCATTCTTACTGAGGAGCTTACTACATGGCTAAGAATAACCACCCCTCAAATGTATGTAGCATTTTATAGTGTATAAAAACCTTCCACAGCCTTAATTTCATTTGATTCTCATGACAACCCACTGAGGTAGGCTCCCCACCATACTCTGACCTTCCTTCCCAGCTCTGCAGTTCTGAGTCTCCAGTAGAAATGACCAGGGCTTCTTCCTTCTCTTGCCAGCCTCTCGCACATGGGTGGACCAGTTGCCTCGGAGTTGGCTCCTTTGGCCATTAGATGGTAACCGTCTATATATGAACCAGCAGGCATTTCCTATGTGTTTTTCTTGGCTGGTCAATTTTTTTACCTCCCTTATAAGGTCACATTAGTGAGTTTAGTGGAGGAAGAAAGAATAAGCCCACATGGTCAGTGTCTCATTTTTAACGAGAACTCCCCTCTGGGAAGGAGGAGGTAATGAATACTTGTTGAGCACTTGCCTCAGTCCAGGTGCTATGTGAGATGGCTTGCACCAGTCGTTCATTTAACTCATCACAACCACCCTGTGAGGTTGCCACTGAGAGGAGAGCACCAAGGCCAGTTGTTGTTGTTAGGTGCCATCGAGTCAGAACCAACTCATAGCGACCCCATGCACAGCAGAACGAAACAATGTCTGATCCTGGGCCAACCTCACTACCGCCGCCACACTTGACGCCATCAATGATGCCACCTAGCTGATCCATCTCGTTGGAGGTCTTCCTCTTTTTCTCTGACCCTCCACCTTACCCAGCATGACATCCTTCTCCAGCGACTGTTCTCTCCAGACAATGTGTCCAAAGTATGAGAGATGAAGCCTAGCCATCTTGGCCTCCAAGGAGCACTCTGGTTGTACTTCTTCCAAAACAGATCTATTGGTTCTTTTGGCAGTCCATGGCACTTTCAGTATTGTCCTCCAACACCACAACTCAAAGGCATCAATTCTTCTACGATCTTCCTTATTCATTGTCCAGCTTTTGCATCCATATGAGGTTATTGAAAATACCATGGCTTGGGTCAGGCGCACCTTAGTCCTCAAGCTGACATCTCTGCTCTTCAATAGTTTAAAAAGTTCCTGTGCAGCAGATTTGCCCAATGCAATACGTTGTCAGATCTCTTGACTGCTGCTTCTGCAAGTGTTGATAGAGGCCAGAGAACAGAGTAACTTGCCTCATGGCTGGTCAGTGTCAGACAGCATCTTTGTTTCCTTACTTTGTCCCAGTTTCTGGCACAGTTCCTGATAACAAGTACTTGTTGAATGAATAAATGACAGAAATGGGATTTGCTTCCTAGAAATCTCGTAGAGTTGTTGAGAAGGTTAAACAAGATGATAATACCTAAATTGGTGTCTAGCACTTTGTGAAGGAAGCCGGTCATTTAAATCCCTTAGAAGAAAATTGTCATCGTCCTCTTAGGCGAATATAAATGAAACAGGACTCTTGGCCCTTTAACATTCTTTTCCTTGAACTGCTCTGGTCTTGTATTTCAGTTGACTGTGTCTTCTTTTTCTCTCCCTCCTTCTGTTGCTTGGAGACTCCTAGCAGGGCTCAGTGTGAAAGCACCTGCAGGGCATGGCACCTGGGGAGGCATGGGACCCAGGAGGTGCTCAGTCTCCCTGCCCCAGGTAGGCCCTGCCAGTGAGCTCACCAGAATGATGGGGTCCCACCACAGTCTGAGGGGAAGCAGGCGTCACAGCAGGAAGTGCTTGGGCTTGAGGATTGGGATGCCCTGGCTTTGACTCCAGCGCTGTCATTTCCTAAAATGTCACCTTAAACCAGTTACATATCCCCTCTGCACCTCAGTAAAATGAGGACAATAGTATCATCTCCAAAAGGTGGTTGTAAAGATGAAATGAATACAACGTGAGTTGCCTCACACCAAGGTCTCTTCTTGAGTTTTGGACCCTACAGAAGTCAAGAAGGAATTCTTTGAATTATATTTCCTCATCTCCCAGGAACCGTTAGATCATCTGCCTGAGAGATTAATCAGGCGGGGTATGCACCCTCTGAGGAAGCCTTAAACACAAAAGTGTGACTTTTGTCCCCTACCAGGGATCAGATGACACAGGGAACAACAGTGGAGAGTGGAGGGCATGGCCAGGGGCTAAGGACAGGGTTGGGTCCTAGGAGATTCCTCCCCTTGTTTCCTCAGAGTGCCCAGGAATACCGGCAGCGAAGCCTGCTGGAGAAAGAACTGCTTTTCTTCGCTTATGATGTCTTTGGAATTCCCTTTGTTGATCCGGTGAGCCAGACACAAGAGATGGAGGGCAGGGAGGCAAGGTCAAAAGGGGGACAAGAGGTGGCAAATGGGGAGAAAATGATTGGAGGATTGAGCTAAAACACAGGATCTGTGAAAGCCGTTGATGAGAGACAATGAAACATAACAAGGGGATTCTGGCAGCTGGAAGTGTCTTAGGTTCAGAAACCTCCTATTTTATCTCCTGAAAGGAGGTGATTTTTCTTACAGACCCTAGTTTGTACACTGAGACCTGGAAGGTGAGGTAGGTTGTTCATTTTATCCTGACTACTCGTAGGATTCATGGACGCCTGAGGAGGTGATTCCCAAGAGACTACAAGAGAAACAGAAGTGAGGGCCTTGAAGAAACTGCATGATTGGACCTGTCTGATGAGGCACTGGAGGGTTTCCTGGGCCCAGGCTGATGTGACCTTCCAGAGGGGCGGGCAACCCCAGTCTGGGAAGTTGGGCTGGCCCTGGAGTACAGTCCTCAGAGTGACTTTGTTCACAGGTCAGAACGGGAAACAGCCGTCCGCATCTCCCAGGAAATCGGAACCCTCATGAAGGAAATTGAGACGCTTGTGGAAGAAAAGACTAAGGAGTCGGTAGATGTAAGCATGCTGGTCCGAGAAGGTAAGAGGGTATTTGGGGGTGTCTGCATTAGCTAGACAGCACCCCTAGTTGTGAAAGTTATCTGTGTCCTTCCTGACTCACCAATAGGACTTTTCACCTGCAAAGAGCACCGAGAATTGGCACTCCATAATGACACTATAGCTTTGTTGTTGTTCTCAGATGCCATTGAGTCGGAACTGACTCATAGCGACCCCATGCACAGCAGAACGAAACAATGTCCGATCCTGGGCCAACCTCACTACCGCCGCCACAGTTGATGCCATCAATGATGCCACCTGGCTGATCCATCTCGTTGGGGGTCTTCCTCTTTTTCTCTGACCCTCCATCTTACCCAGCATGACATCCTTCTCCAGCGACTGTTCCCTCCTGATAATATGTCCAAAGTATGAGAGACGAAGCTTAGCCATCTTGGCCTCCAAGGAGCACTCTGGCTGCACCTCTTCCAAAACAGACCTATTGGTTCTTTTGGCAGTCCATGGCACTTTCAGTATTCTCCTCCAACACCACAATTTAAAGGCATCAATTCTTCTATGATCTTCCTTATTCACTGTCCAGCTTTCGCATCCATATGAGGCTATTGAAAATACCATAGCTTAGTTCACTTCAAAAACTATTTATAGATATGTTCAGAACTCATTCAGTCCCTCCAACTCCCAAACTTTCATCTTTCTTTTTGTTACCAAGACTCAAACCCATGAGCCCTTTAGTAATCCTCCTCCTCCCTTGCCTATCCCTCCAATCCACTGGGGGAAGGCCTCCCAATTATGTCTCCACTGTTTTTCACCTCTCCCCAACCCTTGGCTTTTTCCATTGCTGCAGACCTGCTTAGGACTCCCACCCCCTATTGTCTGTACTTTTCTCCTTGTGCAGCCTCCTGCCTGCCCCTTCCCACTCGCGGTTGCTAGACTACTCTTCCATCCTCCCTGCCTACTCCTTTAACCACATAGCCTACTTTTCCCCTCTTTACACCCTCTCTTCACCTGAACTGGATTTTGTTCCTGAGCCTGCTTTCTGCCCACAATCTTCGTCCGTGCTTCTCTCTCCACCTAATGCTCAGCCTATCACCTCTGCCCATAAAACAGCTTGGATACACCCTTCCAACCCTCTCCATCTCCTAGCCGAGTGGGACTCCTCTCCCTCTATCTTCTGAAATTGGAAGGCATTTTGTACCTTCTTAGGGCATTTATGACCTGCCTTGTGCTAGGCATTTGTGTGATTGTCGAAGAACAGGTGCTCTCTTCAGCTATCAACCCTCTCATTGTCTAGCACAGTCAAGCCTTTGGTAAAGATATGACACTGTTCCCAGCAAAGAGAGATGCCATGAGAAACACACAGAAGCGGTAACCTTTGCCCTGTAGCTGTGGGCTGTTGAGTCGATTCCAACTCATAGCAACCCTGTTTAGGGTTTCCGAGGCTGTAAATCTTTACAGGAGCAGAAAGCCTCATCTTTCTTCCTCAGAGCAGCTGGTGGATTCAAACAACTGACCTTGAGGTTAGCAGTCCAATGCTTAACCCAAGATGGCTCCAGGGTTCCTTCTCCTTTGCCCTACAGTTACTTAAATGAACAAGATTAGCCTGTGAAAATGACCCAGCCAGCATTCCTTTGTTTCCAGACAGTGTTCAGGCCTAATTATCCGGGAGTTGGATCTGGCAGATTATAGGATCCCAATTTTAAATAAATAAGTGATGATGATGATGTGGTATGATGGGGAAATTTTTTTGAACATTCACTGTATGCCAAATTTGTGTTAAACCTTTCACTTGCTTTATTTGTTCTTTATATCAAACTAACTTAGGAGGTAGGTGCTGTTTTACAGATGAGAAAACTCAGGTTCAGGGAGATTGCATAACTTGCCAGGGTTACACAGGATTGGGGGTGTCAAAGTTTCTGTCTCTAAAGCTCACGGATTTTGCAATATCCTTGTGATGCAAAGGCCCTAGAACTAGGATGAAGACTTGGATCTTCTGTCTGTCAGCTCCAAGTTCTTCCGTCTGGACAACCTGCCTTTGGAAGTGACTGAGCAGGAGATTTCTCTGGGGAGCAGGAAACCACTGAGATGTCTATTCCTTACAGGGAAACAATATCCTGTGATGAGCCTCTGGCTGAGCTCCTGCTGGGCTCCGCCTGAGCCCTCTCCTTGCTTTCCAGGTGGCTCCCTGCTCTATGAGGGGATCAGGCTCACCATGAATTCCAAGCTCCTGAACGGTTCCCAGCGTGTCGTGATGGATGGCGTGATCTCAGACGCTGAGTGTCAGGAGCTGCAGAGCCTGACCAATGTAAGGGAAACCCTGTGTCACTGCCGTCTGCCCCAAAGGGTCCATCTTCCTGCTACCAAGTGCCTCCTCGGTGTTGAGTGTGTGCCCACCCCTGACTTCACTGTCTGCCTCTTACTGGGGCCTCAGCTGGCCTGGCCCCCCTCACCTTGCTTCTCTGTCCTGGTAGGCAGCTGCAACTGCAGGAGACGGCTACCGGGGTCACACCTCCCCCCACACCCCCAATGAAAAGTTCTACGGTGTCACTGTCTTCAAAGCCCTCAAGGTAGAATCAATGCCTAGCATTCTAGAGTATGGAGAAAGGGGAAATCTGTCTGCTCCAACACAGGAAGGAAGGGGAAGCTTGGAGGAGAAGTCGAGGGCAGTAGTGGGAAGGGTAAAGTGTCTGCCTGTCTACATTCCAGTTGCCACAGAGGGTGGTGAGTGAGGTGGAGTGAGCTAATAAAAGAGACATGGGCAAGACAAGACTGATAGCCAGTTATGGAGTGATTCCTGGGGCTATAATTTTGAGCAAGATGCACAACCATCATGAAGGAGACCGGGAAAGGGTGATGAGGTCAGGTTGTCATGTGTGGGAAGCAGACTGCATGGGGGGGCCTGGTGCCTCAGTGGTCCCTATCAGCCCGGAGAGGGGCAGTCAGGGACAGCTGACCTCTGGTCTTCTTGGCAGCTGGGACAGGAAGGGAAAGTGCCCCTTCAGAGTGCCCACCTGTACTACAACGTGACTGAGAAGGTGAGGCGCGTCATGGAGTCCTACTTCCGCCTGGACACACCCCTCTACTTCTCCTACTCCCACCTGGTGTGCCGCACTGCCATTGAAGGTGAGCCTCCTCAGCCACGCACCAGACTGTGTTAGATGCTGAGCTTGGGGGACAGGACCCCAGTCCCTTTCATTCCAGCTGGGGAGACAAAGACAAGCACACAGCTGGCAACTCCATCTGACCAGACACAGCAGCACTGAGGGAGTTACAGTGGGTGTAACTGGGGAATCGGGAGGCTTCCCCCAGGAGGTGATGACACTTTTGTAGAATGAGTAGGAGTTTGTGGTGAGAGCATTTCCTTCAACCCCAACACATTTTAGGAAGCAACCCCACCATGCCAGCAGGAGGGCTGCACTGTGTCCTGAGGTGCCCCAGCACTAACTTGTGGTTTCCTTGGCCCCAGAGGCACAGGCTGAGAGGAAGGACAGTAGCCACCCAGTCCACGTGGACAACTGCATCCTGAATGCCGAGGCCCTAGTGTGTGTCAAGGAGCCCCCTGCCTACACCTTCAGGGACTACAGGTACCAGTTCTCTTGGAGGCCTTGGCCTCCCCACACCTGCCCCCTAAACATACACAAACGCAGTGGTTTGGGCCCCACTGCTCCCAGAATCCAGTCCTTTGTTTGCAGACCCCCTGGATAGACAAGGAAATCCTGATGTCGTAGTAGTGTGGTCATTGTGGCAGTGAAGTGTGGACTTGATACAGAATAACCCAGAAAAGGCACAGTGGACTCTCAGGGCGTGGGGTGGGGGGTGCACGGTAGGGGATGTTGGGAGTTGGTCTCCTGTAGCTTCAAAGAAGGCTCTTGAAGGCTTTCTTCCTTAAAAGTCTGCCCTCTAGCTGCTGGCTGAGAGCACTGCAGGTAAAGGCCGCAGTGTGGGAGGACAGGTCATGCTGAGCCACTCTCTGCTCTTTCCAGTGCCATTCTTTACCTAAATGGGGACTTTGATGGAGGAAACTTTTACTTCACTGAACTAGATGCCAAGACCGTGACAGTGAGTACCCCCTTGTCCTCAGCCCTGGAGACAAAAGCCTGTGTTCTGGGGCTAATGTCCCCAAAGAGCAGTGGGGAGAATAGCCATTTGGCTTCCTTGTGGTCAGCCCCCTTCTGAAAACCAAAGGGGCTTTGAGATATGTCAGTCTCTCCTCTGACTGGTCACCTTTATTTTTTGCTCTGGACTTTGGGAAGCCAAATTGAAGGGTTCCCAATTCTGGACCCTAATGTTCCCATACTTCTAAGGATGTTTACACACACACCCCCTTTCTGCCCCCTTAGGCGGAGGTGCCCCCACGGTGTGGAAGGGCGGTGGGATTCTCTTCGGGCACTGAAAACCCACATGGAGTGAAAGCTGTCACCAGGGGGCAGCGCTGTGCCATCGCCTTGTGGTTCACCTTGGACCCTCGACACAGTGAACGGGTGAGAGTGGTGGGCTCTGTGATCTGGTTCAGGAAGGCCTTCCCTGGTCTGTTTCCTACGTCCCCAGACCCTCTTACCAGGGGCTTAGACATAAAAGGAACACTTACCTCAGTGGGGCTCTAGTTGGCTTGGGGACCCCAGATGGGAGGCACTCCTGGGTTCCTGCTTCCCTCCTTGGGCCCTGCCTCGGCTGTTTGCTCTGAAAAGAAGCTGGGCTTCAGAGCAATACTGTTCTCCAGGAAACCGAGTACCTGGTCTGGAGGCCTCTTCTAATAGGCAGGGCTTTGTGTGTACAGGACAGAGTGCAGGCCGATGACCTGGTAAAGATGCTCTTTAGCCCTGAAGAGATGGACCTCCCCCAGGAGCAGCCCCCAGGAACCCAGCAGGACCCCCTACAGCCTGCAGAAGAGCCCCTGTCAGGCAGCGAGTCAGGGCACAAAGATGAGCTATGACAGCATCCACGTCACACCCGGATGGGTGAGGAGACCTGCGGACAGATATTCTGTCCTGCACCTGGGACTGGCCAGCCCCTCAGAACTGCAGAACAGTGGAGAACCGGCATCTGCTGCCCAGTGGGGGGACTTCTGCTCTGAGAGTGGACATGGCAGGAGGGCCTGCCCCCCAGGGACCTGGCTGAGGGCTCAGGATGCAGACCCAGCCACCGTGACAATGGTGCTGTATTTAAGTGTCTGGGGTAGACAACCAGAACAATAAAGGATTTGTGGGGGTTGTTTTACTTGGTATTTTGTTCAGAGAGTGGAACTCTGCCCCTTCTCCGCAGGGGTCTCACTTGATAAAAATCAGCCTAGGCAGCATGGAACAGCGCAGCGATGTGGTTCCAGGAGCCGCCTCCGGACTCACGGGGCAGCTTCAGACCAGATACTTCACACTGTACCATGGAGGATCATGGGGATCGTGATCCTTGCTCTGCCCACCTTTGGGGGCATTTGTGTGGCCCAGATGCAGTATTGGATGTACCTCACTTTGAAAACTAGAAAGCTCCAGGTCAATGGTGGGGATTACGACTAGTCCTCTCAGCAGTGCTTGAGCATACTGCCCCCTGGTCAGCCCCAGGCTTCCTGCTCTGCTGTCTGGCTTGAGGCCTCTGTGTCCAGGCACATACCTCCCCCTAACAGACAGAAAGAGCCGGACGGGGTTGCTCAGCAACTTGGGCCACATCCGTCTCCCCTGCAGTTCTTGAGATGCTAGAAGGTAGTGAGTTTAGGAACTTGTGTACCAACTTTACAAATTTATTCATTTATCAATATTTATCTGTAAAACACAAACTGAGTGTCAACTTCTGGGAATGTGGTAGTGAATAAAACAATCCCCCACCCTCAGAGAGGAGAGGAGACAGATCATTAGTAAATGTGTATGTGTGTGTATGTATACATACATAGACTACGTATGTGCATCATATCGTAAAAAGTACAGATCAGAGAGATTGGGACTATCAGGAAGGAATTGCTTTTTTAATTTACAGTAAGATCTTTAATAAAAGGTAGTCGTGGCTTAGTGGCAGAATTCCCACTTTGGGTTTGGTTCTTGGCCGATACACTGCAAGCATAGCCACTACCTGTCTTGTCATTGGAGGCTTGTATATGATGCTTAACAGGCTTCTGTCGAGGTTCCGCACTAAGACAGACTAGGAAGAAAGGCCTGGCGATCTATTTCCAAAAATCGGCCAATGAAAACAGTGGATTGCAACATCAGATCCCATTATAAATGGGGCTGCCGTGAGTCAAGTGATGCAACGGCAGTTAACAATAACAACAACAACAACACAGACCTTCAGTAAGAACTTTACCACAAAGACCTGGAAAAAGTGAGCATGCAAGCCTACAGACAGATGACTTGAGAGAAATGTAAAGTGAGGTCATGAGGTGGGAGTGAAGGCAAGAAGGCCACGTGGTGGCGCAGGGTGGGCAAGGCAGAGCCATAGAGGAAGTCAGGTCTGTGTCAGCCATCGTGAGGACTTGGGCTTTCTCTGTGAGTGAGAAAGGAGCTTAAGCACATTGAGCGGAGGAGTGGCAGTGTATGACTTAAAACATTTAAAAGCCTTGCTGAACAGTATGTGTGAAAAATATATTACTGTAGCAAAAATAAAGGCCAGGAGATCTGAGAGAAGGCCGCTGCAGTAAACCAGGGGAGAGGGAAAGGTAGTTTGGAGTGGGGTGTTGGCAGTCACGGTAGTGAACAAAGGTTGTAGAGCCGATGGGGGGTTGCTGGTGGGTTGGATGTGGGGTGTGAGAAAAAGAAACATCAAGAAGGGCTTCAGCTTAAGTTGTTGGGGAAAATACTGCCGTTTCCTAGAATAGGGAAGACTGCAGAGGGATTGGTTGGTGGGTGTGGAAGGAAATCAGGAGTTTGATTTTAGATGAGTTATGGTTAGATTTGGGAAATATTGTACAGTCAAGTATATGAATCTGTAAATCTGTAGGGTTCTGGAAGAGGTCCAGGTAGGAGATGTAACCTTAGGAAAGGTTTTTATCAGCATGTGTTCAAAGCCAAGAGATGATGATGTGTGCAGATACAACAAGAGTCAGAAGACTCAGCCTATATGACTGGAGGGACACAAGGGGACTCAATAGAGGAGACTGAGACCAGTGTCCATGAGGGAAGATGAACCAAGAGGGAAAGGTGTCTTGGAAGTCAATGAGAGCATTCCTAAAAGGGAGGAGCAGCTGGGCCAGATGCTGCTGAGAGGCTGGACAAGATGAAAACTGAGTCCACTTCTGGGCTTGGCAGCAGGGAGATGACTGGGAATGACAGCAAGAGATGTTTTGGTAAGGTGGTGTGGAGGAAAGCCAGGCTACGGAGAGTGGTCCCGGGAGAGTAGGTGGGATGGGGCTTAGTTCTAAAGGAAAGCAGGAAAATGAGCTGGAGGGACATGTAAAGTCCAGGAAGGACTTTTTTTTCAAGCACCAATGGAGTTGCTCTAGTATTTGCGGGCCCACACCAAACCAAACTCACAGCCATGGAGTCCATTCTGACTCCTAGTGACCAAACTGGACACAGCAGAGCTGCCTGGGTAGAGTTTCCAAGACTGTCGATGTTTGTGGACGCAGACGGCTCTCTTTATCCTGTGAAGTGACTGGTGAGATTCAACTGCTGCCCTTTTGGTTTGCAGCTGAGCACTTTAACCTCTGTGCCACCAATACTCCTTTTGCTCCCTTTACAACCATGTCTGGTGACTCACCAGCCAGCAAGGAGACTAGTGGAAAGAGCTTGAACTTGACCCACATACTGAGCTGGGTGACACTAACTTCCACCACTTGGAATAGTCTGACCTTTAGCAAGTATGTTTCCTCACCAGTCAAATGGTCTCTCAAAGGACTGAGAATCTTGAGGGTGTGACTGTTAAGGTTGTGTGTTGACTAGGCTGGGCCACGATTCCCAGTGGCTTGGCAGTTGTGATGTCATCATCCCCATAATGAGCTGTCAAGAGATGTAATCACTTCCATGATGAACGCTGCTACAGAGTTCAAGCAGCCAATCAATTGAAAAGGAGTTTCCTCAGGGGTGTGGCCTGCTTCCAATACACGTAATAGAGTTCTGGTAAGTTTGCTTAGTTTGTGCTGGGTCTGGATTCTGCATCTGGTTTCACTGATTTTGCTTTTCTAAGGAACTCAGCTCAGAAAGTACCTGGCCAGGTGCCCAGTATGTCATAGATATTCAGCATTAAAGAAACCTACATTGCATTCCCACATTACAGGAACCAGGCCCAGAGAAGCTAAGAAATTATCAACCGTCACACAGCTTTTCAGTGGCAGAGCTACAAGTAGAACCCTCTGCTTCATGTCATGTATTTGAAAGCACATTTCAGTGAAGTGTGACACCCCAGGGCAGTTACCAGTGTGCTCCAACAGGAGATTGGGGACAGACCCTAAGCCTTCCTGCTCTCCCTGCATGCCTGGGACTCACTGGGCTGCAAGGGGGCCCCTGGAACTAGGGGTCATTCAGGTGGAGAAGCAATACCCTGTAGAGGAACCAATCTGAATTCCAAAAGGCTTTGGAATATTGGTGGGGGAAGGCTATGAGAGTATGAGGCGATTTTGGCAGAGCAGACTCGAAGCTTCAAATCACAAAGAGATGGGATAAACAGGAACTTCCGAAGAATAATACTCTTCTGGATCACAAAGCCTCAGAGTCACAAGCCTCAGCCTCATAGCCAGAGGAGGCTATGTGGCTGTAAGCACTTCACTTCCCCTCTCAACTTCCTCATGAGTCAACTGAGGGCCAATGGGGCTCTGATTCTTGGTTTCTGGATGGTGCAGAGGATATTAGGACTTCAGAGCAGAGACCTGAACCAGGTCTTCTGAGGCCAGGGATGGCCCTTGGGTCTTCCTTACAGAGCGGGTCCCTGCAGAATGTGAGGAAAGATGGGCCTCAGCCCTTTGGGAAGCAACTTATTAACTGCCATCGAGTCAGTTCCGACTCATAATGACCCTGGACACGTTTCCGAGGAGTGACTCGTGAGTTTGAACCACTTACAGTCAAACTGACCTTGAAGTCCAGGAGAGAAAAGCATGGGAGACCACATATCTGAGCAGGAGGCCCTCCCTGCACTTTTTAGCTTGGAGTAAGCTACCTCCCTCAGCCACAGTTTTCTTATCTGCAATGAGGTCTGCCCACCTTGAAGCCCCACCTTGAGGACTCCATGAATGAACACGTAAAAGGCACCAGGTCGAAGGTCTTCCTCTCTCCTCTGGCTTCTCCACCCTAAGCATACTGTCTCCTCAGTGTGTGTGGCAGAATTTGAACTGAGGACTGCTTTATTTTCACCTAGACCCCATTTGATTTGGGGAACCCACAGGAGGTCCCAGGAAACAGGTGTATGAGTCCACCAATGCATGCGGTCACCCTTTCCTCAGAGGGGTTCAGGGTACACACAGGGGACCGCAGGCCAAACATCAGAGGGCGGCTTGCTCCCCAAGCCCCGCCGGAGCTGCAGGCCATACCAGGGGCCCACGCCTTAGGCGGGTACACAGGGCAGCCATTGTCTGCTCAGTGCCTGGCACTCTCTCTCGTTTGCATAGCCACGTGAAGAATGCAAGGGAGCAGGCTAGGGGCTTGTCCCAGCAGAAGGGCTGTGGAGGAGGGAGACCTGCTGAGGGTCTGTACTAGACCGACCCTGCCTTCCCCCACCAAAGCCTAGTGGACACAGGGGGCAGCCGTGGGACTGGCAGAAGTGGGAGCAAGGTTGTGACATTCCTCCTGCACCCACGCCAGGAGCCCGTGGGGCCAAACGTGAGGGGATTGCTAATGAGGCGGAGGAGAGTTAAACATTCCCCTGCTTCCAAGGGCTGCATGGGGGTCGGTAACAGAAGAGGGAGGTGGGGGCAGCCTGAACCCCAGGAATGTGCAGAGGCCATTGCTCCTGGCCAGGCTGTTCTGGCACTGGGACCCAGGGTCAGGGAGCCCCAGATCTCAGCAGGAGCTGCTAAACCAGCCAGCAAGGGGATTACGCCTTCCAGCTAATGCCAAGTCAGTGCGGTCTGTTTCTCTGCCTCCCTACCAGGCCCCTTGTTGGCTGGCAGCCCCAGTGGCCCCGACTTTAGGTGGATCCAGACTTCACAAAGACCCCACAACCCATGTCATCTGCCTGGCATTCCTCGTTTCTGATCCACATGGTCCCCAGATACTAAGGACCTCCTCTCTCAACATCCCTCCCCAGCCCAGTCTCCACATCTGGCCTCAGATCCCTTGCCAAAAAGTTCTCCCTGAAGTCTAACTCTGGTCTTACCTGCTACAAACTAGAATTCCTTTCCCTTTCTGTCCTAAAGTCAGAGAACAGAAAACCTCCAGGGTCAGATGAACCTTGAAAGAACAAAGTCCACCATCTCCGGGCTAGAGTTTGGGGTAGGGATAGTGACAATGTCAGGACATTTGAATCAAGTTCCTAAAGGGGTTTCCCTGGGCTCTGAGGTCAAGCAGGGTCACTCACGCCTCCCAGCCCCTCCCTTCTCCATCTCAGAGAGCAGGGGCAGGGGTACTCACCGGGACCATGGGTCCCGCCTCCCACCCCCAGAGGGCTGGGTCTGAGCTTTGCTGGGGACACAGCCGTGGCTCAGGCTGCTGCTGTGGGCGGGCCCCTGGCCTTTTCCAGCCTCTGGATTCTGGCCTTTTCCAGCCCCCTGCATTCTGGAGCCCAGAGCTGTGCCTTTGCTGCTGTTGCTCCTTCGCTTCTCCTTCTCTGCCCCTGACTGTTCACCTCCGTCCCCCTGCCATGACTCCGGTCTTCCCAGGGAGCCTGGCCCGGCTCTGAGCCCTGGACTCCCCTGCCCCTTCCCCTGGGCCATGGCCAACTCAGGCCTGCAGCTCCTGGGCTACTTCCTGGCTATGGGTGGCTGGGTTGGTATCATCGCCAGCACAGCCCTGCCTCAGTGGAAACAGTCCTCCTACGCCGGAGATGCCATCATCACTGCTGTGGGCCTCTACGAAGGACTCTGGATGTCCTGTGCCTCCCAGAGCACAGGGCAGGTGCAGTGCAAGCTCTACGACTCACTACTCGCCCTGGACGGTAGGTCTTGGCCAGCAGGGGCAGGTAGGGGAAGTCAGTCACCTTGCATGGTGGACCTCCGCTGGCTAGGGGTGGGTGGAATACAAGGTACACTTGTTGTTGTTAAGTGCTGTCAAGTCAGTTCTGACTTACAGCGACCCTGTGTAGGGTTTCTGAGGAGCAGCTGGTGGGTTTGAACTGCTGACTTTATGGTTTGAAGCCCAGTGCTGATCCCGTAGCGCCACACCAGGACACAGAGAGGTTCAGAAACAGCTTTCCCCACATTCTACATTGGCCCTGGGTGCCCCTCTCTGGCCTCCCCTTCCATACCCTCCCCACCAACTATTAGCCCTGTGTACATTTAAAACCCAGGCCTGTCTGGTACCCTGCCACAGACAGAGGTTTTATGGCCTGGCAGCCATGGGCCAAGAGTCCTGCTCTGTTACTGTAACCTTGAACAAATCACTAAGCCTCTTTGTGTTCCCTGTCCCCATCCATAAGGAGGTACTTAAGCCTTCTCAGGGCTATGGGAGGAATGAGTGAGAAGAATACATGGCATTTAGAAATTCTCAGTGAAGATTCTGCCCTCAGCCTCTCCTGTCCTTAGCTTACAGACCCACACTTGGACACACATATCTACTTACCAGGCTTGCCACCTAGGTAGCACACACACACACACACACACAGAGAGATACGTGGATGCATAGGCTGTGGAGTTGAGACTGATGATGGTTGGCCCCACTACAACCTCTCACCCTGGTGGGAAGGCTGACCTATCCTCAACCTGTCCAGGGCCCAGCATGCAGCCCTAACTGCACAGACAGCTGACACATGCCCCAGCCGCACAGACCCTCAGGGATCCATGGAACCCAGGGCTGACCCCAGCACCCACAGAGAGGCAGGCACAGAGAGATGTCTGAGGGGAAGGGTCCCGAGGACCAAATTGGGCTGAGGTGGGCCTCAGATACTCTCAGTTCTGAATCCACAAGGGTCCTTGGGAGGGGCAGCCCAGGTCCAAGAAGGAGTCCCCAGGCCAGAAGGCTTCAGGAGAACTTAAAGTACCCCCCACCACCACCCAAATTGTCTGCACATGGGAGCGAATATGGGGTTATTGTGAAAGGTACTCTCACCTTCCCCCCAAAGCCCTGTCCTCACCCTCACTGTCTAATGCAAGGCCCCTCATTATCTCCTCACACCTCTAGTCTAGACCCTGCTCAAGACCCTTCCCTGGACCCTGAGGTGTCCCTCCCCCACTTCTACACTCAGTGTCCTCCCTCCCTGCCTCCCTCCGGCCCCAGGTCACATCCAGTCAGCTCGGGCACTAATGGTGGTAGCTGTGCTGCTGGGCTTCGTGGCCATGGTCCTCAGCGTGGTTGGCATGAAGTGCACGCGGGTCGGAGACAGCAACCCCATCGCCAAGGGCCGTGTGGCCATCTCTGGGGGTGCCCTCTTCCTTCTGGCAGGTGAGTGTCCCTGGCTCCTTCTCCAAGTTGGCCATGTGGCAGGCAGCCTCAGCCCTGGGTGACCAGGACCAGAGCAGCTGAGCACCTCCTCTGTCCTCAGGCCTCTGCACACTGACAGCAGTCTCCTGGTATGCCACCCTGGTGACCCAGGAGTTCTTCAACCCAAGCACACCTGTCAATGCCAGGTGAGTGCCAAGGCATGGCTTGGGCCAAGGGGACAGGCCAGTCCTCCTCTGGCCTTTGTTCAGCCAGTTGGTGGAGGGAAGGGAGCAAGACTCAGGTGCTGTCATTGAGAAGCTGGAGTAGGGACCCAGGGGTGTGGCTGGGTCCTTGAAGGGGCGGGAGACCAGCAGTGGGCACCCATGATCCTTTAGAACTCCCCAAGGAGCTACAGTGGTGCCAATGAAGCACCCTGCTCTGGGTTACATTCGGGCTCTGCAGGTCCTAACTGAGTGGCCTGGTTTCTTCCCCTATGAACCACTGGGACCAAAGTAAATCTGGTAGTGTAGTGGTTACGAATCGGGCTGCTAATGTCATGGTCAACAGTCCAAAACTACCAGCTGTTCTGCGGGAGAAAGATGAGGCTTTCTGCTCCTGGAAAGATTTACAGCCTCGGAAACCCTGTACAGGGTCGCTATGAGTCAGAACCGACTCCACGGCATATGACAACAACAAACCACCGAGGGGGTGGTGTTTGGGCTCAATGAGGTGGTGCATTGAGGAATTTAGTGCCTGGTCTACTGGAAAGTGTTAATAGGCATGAGTTTTGTTTTGTTTTGTTTGCTGCTGGTGGCAAGTTTGGTGTGGCTTCCTGCACAGATAGCAATTACTGGCAGAGAGAATGAGAGAAGGTTGGGGAAGTAGTCAGAGCAGATGGTCCCAGGCCTTGCAATCCTAGGAAGAATGTGGCTTCTCATCCTGGGAGCAGTAGGCAGTGCCTGTCCCCCTGGCTGTGTGTGCAGCCTGGGAGAAGGGGCAGGACCAGTCAGCGAGCAAAAGTCTTCACAAGAGGACTTTGGGACCAGGAAGGTCACAGTGGAGATGGAGGAAAACAGGTTGAGGGATACTTAGGAGATTAGAATGAGCAAAACTTGTAAACCCTAGGACAGGGCCTCTCAGAGATCCTGGTCCCTTCCTCTTAGTCCTGCCAAGAGCAGAACATAGAATTGTCTCAATCCCAGCTTCTCAACAGGCTTAGTTCCCTGGGGTGGAGGGAGGATGGGAAAAGATGCTGAGCTGAGGCAAGCAGGAGGGCTTCCTGGAGGAGACAGTTGTGGAGTGGGAGGAAAAGAGGATACTTTTAGGAGGCTGTGCTGGGGACACAAGAGTCAGGTTGCCCCTCTGGCCTTAAGGTGCTCCCCAGGTAGTCAAACAAGCCAGGCAATGCATGAATGACAGAGAGCAGTCAGTGGTGAAGGCAGAAGGCAGGGCTGGCACAGCAAAGAGACTCTGGGTAGAGATGGGGTTATCCCAGAAAGCCCCAAGAGGAGCTGACGTTTAAACAGTGGATGTTCTGAAGGTAGAGGAGCTTGATTGGCACAGAAGACAGAGGATGACCCAGGAGGAGGGGGCTTGTGCAAAGGCACAGAGGCAGGAGATCCAGGGCATGGTAAAGGTCCTAAGGCACAGAGGACAGGCTGGGAAGTCAGGCTTTCTCCTAGAGGGCAGTGAGGAGCCTTCTGGGAGCTTTGTAGGCAGACAGGAACTAAGAGGGAGTTGCTCTGCTCGTCCCAGAACAGACCACAAGCCCCTTTCATGCCCCGTCCACCAGCCTGCTGAGGAGGGCCCAGAGAGGGGCAGGGACAGAGCAAGGACTAGGGCCGCCCTGGACCTGGGTCACTGTGACATGTGATACTCTCAGACAGGGTGAGGAGGAAGACCAAGCCCTGACCTATCTCAAGAGACCCTGGAGGCTTGTGAGGCCCCAACCTTAGCTCCCCTTACCCTGCACTCCGCCTGCAATGAAGAAGTTGGGGAGGTCCCTGAAACAAACGGGGAGGGCCTGGGGTGCTCCCCACTGAGTGAAGCCACACCTGACAGCTTCCGCCCTCCTTTTGCAGGTACGAATTTGGCCCTGCCCTGTTCGTGGGCTGGGCTTCTGCTGGCCTGGCCATGCTTGGGGGCTCCTTTCTCTGCTGCACATGCCCAGAGCGGGAGAGGTCCAACAGCAGCCCTCAGCCCTATCGGCCTGGGCCCTCGGCTGCTGCCCGAGAGTACGTCTGAGCCCCATCTGCCCTGGTAGCCAGCCAGCCAGTGGCTTCCCTGCCCAGCACTCTGGCTGGAGCCATAGGATGTCCCTCAAGCACAGTCGGGGGCTCTGAGCAACTTGTCCCCCACACCCACCCTGAGATTCAAGACCCAGGTCCAAACATACAAAGACACCACGTAGAGGTAGGGACACCCGCCACGGGGCGCAGGCATGGCTCCAGGCTCTGTGCCCTGCCTGACTGCCTCATGGGCAGGTGGAGAGGTAGGCTCACGTACCATCAGCCCAGATATTGTCCCTTTTACCTGTCTACTTATTCACTCACTGAGCAGCGTGTTGTGAGTACTTGCTATGGGCCAGGTCCTGGGGAAGTATCAGAGGACTTCAGTGCCGAGCACCCTATGGTAGACAGAGTCCTTGGGTTCCCTGACCCCTAATGACTCCTCACAGCAACTCATGGAGGGGGCAGTTAGGGCTGGTGAGTGTCCACACCATACACCAGGCAGCAAAGGTTCAGAGAGACTAAAGGACTTGCCCCCAATCCCTCTGAGTTTAGGTTTAGCTTTTCCAGAAAGCCCTATGCTATCATGGACACCCACACAGAGGGCTAGGACCCCAGGCAAGGCAGGGACAAAATGGATTAAGTGGGCCAGTCCCTCTGTCTGGGCCTGAGCACCACAGCCCCCGCCTGCCCCACTAACTAGATTTCTCTCTTTTAACTTTCAGACCAGTTGTTAAATTGTCCGCCTCCGTCAAGGGCCCCCTGGGTGTGTAAGGTCCAGGTCCCCAGCCTGGCTCGGTCCCCCTGCCACACCTAGACTCTTTGATCTTTTATGGAAAGAGAAGTCAGCATCCAGCCCAGAGTGTGGTGTCATTTCGTCTGCCCCCAGCATGGCTGGGGTGGGGTTGCCTTAGAGGTCAGAGCTGACCACTGGGGCCCTTGGGCATAAAGATGGAGAGACCAATGGAGAGACCAGATGGGTTGGGGGTGCTTCATAGCACGTTCAAAACTGAGCAGGAAAGAACTCTGGCCTCCCGCTTCTTGTCCAGGTAAGCTCTGAAGTCTGGCCTTAGGGCTTGGTGCCAGGGCTTTCCCAGTGACGATCCTGCCATGCCTGGAGGTTGCCCAGAGGCCCAGCCCAGTGATGGGAGCATGCTGAAGGGAGATGCAGGTCTGCTTCAGCTACTCTGGTCTGCCTCTGGGAATCCTGCTAAGGCACTCTTAGGGTACCTTCTGACTAGTTGCTGGGGATCAGAATTGGGTGCAGTTGGGTATAGGAGGCACTGGAGGATAAGCACTGGACCACAAGGTCATCTGAATCACAAGATCAGCAGTTCAAACTCACTAGCTGCTTCTCTAAAAACCCTAAACGAGGTTGCTATGTGTCAGAACTAACTTGATGACACTTAACAAGGGGAGGAAGGAATCGAGGAAGGACACTAGTACTTTCAGGCATTACGACTGCCCTGAGCAAGGTCTGAAGCACCCAGCTGTGTCCCTGTTGCTGTCCCCACCACTCCTGCTCCCCAGGTTGGCTGAGACCCGGTTACATCCAGCCCTGGAAACTGAGTGGGAGGGAAGGACATGAGGCTGCCCTGACATTAAACCCAGAGAAGAGGTCAGAATGGGGAGGGCTTTTTTCTTGAAATCCAGGCACCACGCCCTTGGTATCGAAGGGGCAATGACACCAGAGGAATGTAGGGAAGTGAACCCAGGCAGCCCCAGGGCCAGGCCCATCATCCTCAGTCTCTCCCAACCAGTGTGCTGCCCTTTCCCCACACATGCAGGTCTCTCTCAACCTAAATGTCCTTTCTGGATATTGTGTCTCCCTCCGGCCACTGCCCTACATCTCTCCCATCTGCACAACAACCTCCTGGAAAGGTTTGTCCATAACTACCCCTCCTCCTGGTTCCCCATGTCCTCCTCAGCCTGCTCCATCCCGTCTCCTCCATCACCTCTCTTGTGATCATATCATACACTATGTGACCAAAGCCTCAGGACACAGCTCAGCCTTCTCCTTCAGCTTGACTCTGAGAGATGAAGTGACCGAGATCAAGTCAGACAAGAACAATGTCCACAGATTCCAACCGTGGGTCAGAATGGGAGCTGCTACAGCATTGTCCCCTCAGTGCCATGGCCTGGCAGCCACTGCATTCTCAAGGACACCAGGGCAATGACCATTTGAACAGCCCATCCAGCCTCTGGCCACAGGGCTTGGTCCAAAATAAGTTTGTCAGAGATCTGTCCCTAGACTCCTAAGTGGGTACTAAAACAAGTTTTTCCGGGTGCCTGACGCTATAATGTTTTAGAATCACCTGAGGCTGCTCCCACCCTGCCCCTCACCAAGAGTCTGACTTGGTTGGTCTGGGATAGATCTGGGCATTTGGGTTTCTGTAAGCTCCCTGAGGGACTGTAATGTGTGGTCAGCACTGAAGGCTACCTCCATGAAGCCTAAAGTTCAGGGCTTTTGGGGCCCCATGTCTTGCTGCTCTGAGGAGGTGTGCAGACCAGATGTGCTACAAGAAAAGATGTGCCGACAGACTGAAGAGGAAGCCTTGTTCCTGAGACCAAGCTGTTCTGTAAGATGCCCTCAGTTGTCCTCCCAATAAATGCCCCTTTTTGCTGAAACAATTTTGAGTTTGATTTTTGTCACACAGAGCCAACCAAGGCCTAACAAACACAGAATTCGGAACCTAAGAATTGAATGTTTCAGTGACAGCTTCTGCCCTGTGGTACTAAGTAGGGGTGGGACACAGACTGAGAGAATCTTCCGTCCTATCCCAGGCCGTGTACTTGGCAGTTCTTGCTATTTGGTCATAAAGCAGTCGGCCAGAAAGTCTGTGTGTGTATTGTCTATGTGCTGGAGTTCAGGCTCCACCTGAATCTTAGGACTTGGTATGAAAAAATCTCAGAATGGAAGGTGTTGACTGCTTATAGGCTTCAGCGGGGGACAGAAAGACAATCTCACCCCAAATTGGTCGCCTGACAGCAGAGCAGGGCCAAGCTTCCTCTGCTCATCTGCTAAGCGTAGCCTGTTCTGCTGTAGCCAGGGATTGGAGATATTGAGACAGATAGCCACACACTTTGCTGAACTGTAGTTCAACCAATATGCCTATTTGAAAAGTAGTTGGCCAAAACGTGAGTCCTGGTGTGGCACTGTAGGATAAGTACTAGATTGGTAACCACTAGGTTGGAGGTTCAAACCCACCAGCCACTCTCAGAAACACTATAGTGTTGCAGTGAGTTGGAACCGACTCAGTGGCACACAACAATAACAACAGGCCACAATACAAATGGGCCTTAAAAGCATCATGCTGAGCAAAATTAGTCAGTTGCAAATGGATGAATATTATATAATCTCACATACATGAAATAATAAAAAACTAGAGACCAAAAATCATTAGTGGTTACCAGGTGGGAGGGAAGAGGAACCGGATAATTCGTGCTTAGTAGGCAGTGAGCTAATGTTAATAGTGGTGGAATGATTTGGAAAAGAGATAGCTTGATTGCACAACTGAACAATGTAATCAGCGTCACAGAATTATACATGTAGAAATGGTTATATTCATATGTGTTTTGTTGTGTATATTTTCAACACAATAAAAAAAGAAAGTAGTGGGATCTTGGAATTGGAAGATGTCTGGAAAAGCCAGAGGAGTTTAAGAAGCCAGATCCCCTAGACCTCCCCTGAAACAACTCTTTATAGTTGCTGTGTGCTGTGAAGTCAGTTCCAACTCATAGCAACCCTGTATAGAGTTTCTGAGGAGCAGTTGGTGGGTTTGAGGCCCTGACCTGTGGTTATCCTACAGTGCCACACCAGGTCTCCTAACTATATCTAGATTCCTAACTATATCTAGTTAGCAGTCCTGTGGTTATCCTACAGTGACACACCAGGACTCCTAACTATATCTAGATTTCTCAGTCTCTCTAGCTCTGTAACACACACACATACACACGAGACCCCTAGTAAGTATCTACATCAAGGTCACCTGGGCTGCCAACCAAAGGTAGGGCCAATTTTCCAGAACCCCTGGCTGGGCTGGTGTTTACGTCCCATGCTCACGGCTAAAGGCTTGGCCAGAGATGCAGGAAGCTGGGGCTCAGACTCAAAGGGCATGCTTTTAAAGCTTTGGTTCTTGTTTATTAACAAACAGAATTCCCCAAGAATGAAATTAACCAACCATAACATTTGTTGTTGTTGTTAGGCACTGTCGAGTTGGTACCAACTCATAGTATGAAACACTGCCTGGTCCTGTGCCAACTTCACAGTTGCTGCTACACTTGAGCCCATTGTAGCTGCCACTATGCAAATCCATCTCATTGGGGTCTTCCTCTTTTTAGTTGATTTCCATTGTACCAAGCATGATGTCCTTCTCCAGGGACTGGTCCCTCCTGATAATATATCTGAAATTATATCACAGCATCACACAAGCCAGACAGAGAAGTTGTGGGGCCATACATAGGTTTTTGGAAGCACCCACCTATGTGCCCAGTCCCTCAGGGAAGTCCCCGCCCCAAGTAGCATAGCAACAGGAGGTGTTCCGTTAAGGGGCCTGAATCCGGGGCATTGAAGTAGCTGATAAGGGAACTCATCTATTGCCTAGGTAGAGACTGAAAAAACATTTATCTGAGACAATGGCATATGGACTGAGTGTTAGATAATGTCATGGAATTAGTTTTAATTGTATGTAATCATGACACTGTGGATGTTTTTCTAAAAAATCTTACCTGTTAAAGGTGCACACTGAACTGATATTGTTGCGGCTGTTGTGTCGTTGAGTAAGTTCTAACTCATAGAGAGTCTGTATTGGGTTTTTGAGGAGTGGCTGGTGGGTTTAAACTACCAACCTTGTGGTTAGCAGTGCTTACCCTGCAGCGCCACACCAGGACTCTGAAATGATATAATAGGTTTGCTTGCGGTTTATGCTGCCAGCCTCGCAGTTTACATGGCTTTGCAGTCTGAGGCATTAACCCACACACAGCACCACACCAGGACTCATATGTATACATACAGAAGTTTATATCAAAGAAAGAACTCACACAGATGTAGAGCTAGGATTCCCAGTCTGGGTCAGATAAATCAAGATGATCAGTTCAGGCAGCAGGCAGGCATGTCCTGCAGATAAGATGGCAGGCTGCTGACCACTCCCAGGGTTAGCAGGTAAAAGAGCAGGCCATTGGCTCAAGTCCAAAGAACTGGAGGCTGGAGGATGAGCCCAGACCCATCAGAGAGCAAGCCAGCTTTGCCTGAGTGACCAATATATTGGAAGCAGACTACACCTCCAAGGAAACTTTCTTTCATTTGATTGGCTGCTCATAGCGGACCTCATCATAGACTTGATTACATTATAGTAATCAAGTAATTATAGTAATCTCATCATGGGGGATAACTACATCTCAACTGGCAAGTCACTGAGAATCCTGGTCCAGTGAAGTTGACACAAAACTTTAACTATAACATTGTTGTTGTTAGGTAGCATTGAATTGGCTCTAACTCATAGTGATCCTATCCATAACAGAATGAAACTCTGCCCAATCCAGCACCATCCTCACAATTGATGTTATGCTTGAGCCCATTGCTACTACTGTCATGGTGCCAATCCATCTTGTTGGAGGTCTTCTTTTTCGCTAACCCTCTTCTTTAACAAGTATGATGACATTCTCCGGTGACTGGTCCCCCCTAATAATATGTCTGAAGTATGAAAGAAGAACTCTGGACATTCTAGCTTCTAAGGAGCACTCTGACTGTACTTCTTCCAACACAGATTTGTTTG